AAAGCGCCCACCCCTCCACCCCGGTCTTCTTTACACAGACCGCTAAGGCGAAACTATCACGATCCCCCCCGTATTACTGTTCACCGACCACCACCAACAACCCCCGCCCCGGGGGGGGGCGTTGGGAAGAATAAAGTAGTTTTCCTTTTGTGGCGAACGTTAATCCGTAAACCGAGAAAATCGCTTGTTTGGGTGTTGCTTTTTTGGACCTTTTTTATTTTGCCTTTCGGCTCCGCTCCTCTCACAAAGTCAGGTCCCCTCAAGCAGAGCAACCTTAACCCCGGCTGCAGGCCTGCAAGCACCCAACTAACACTGCTGCAAACTACTGTCATCCATCAACTTTGGACGGCTGGTGACGCCTAAAGCCCCTTGAACCAAGGTCCTAGGGAGTTAATAGTTAAACCCATCCAAAATTAGCCTTGTCTCTCCAAGGGCTGTTAGGGCCGTTTAACACGTTCTGTTAGGGGTGAAACCTGCGGAGATTGGAAGGGGAGATGCTTCCAAGGTTTACCTTGGCGACACGCAGGTCACCAGGCGGAGATCGGTGTTGTGTAGCCAATAGGATCGGAGTATGCCTCACCGCCATGAATGCGCTAGTCCTGTTAGGGGGATATACTTGCGGATTATCCGGTTGTTCCGGACCGAACTGCGAAATTTGTGTGCTTGCGTGGGGCCAAGTTTTTCCCTTTTCGATTCTGCCCACCTTCCGCGAGCTCCGTTTCTTGCAGTTTGGGTTTCTTTGAACGGATGGGGATGTTTCAAAGGAGGGGTTGAAGGAGAATGCGTACTGAAATTGATTCCGGTGCAGTGGGACATTGTTCTTTTACTTTTCGCTATATTATCCTCCACATGTTCGACGTACTTGTACATATTGTTGCGGTTACCCTGGCTGCTGGGAACCGTCGTGGCCAACTCTGCAAGACTGCAAGGATATCGGCACGCTTGACGCAACCGTCCACGAAACAATATAAAGGACTGGAGGAGCTTAGAGCTCGCCAATGCCCCAGAACCTGCCACATCCCAGATATGGTGATGTATCGAGATTCGCCTGTTGCTGATCTTTTCGGGAGGTTCTCCTTCAAACTTGATTTCTATCTACGGGGAATTTCCCCCTGTCCATAATGGTTGTGCAGGTTCCTATATACCCCGTGTCTATTAACGTATGATGTCACGGCGGCTCACAGCGCGCTGCCATACTGGGCAGCTAGGTACCTTCTCCCTGCCTATAGGTACCAATTTACCTGTCTGTCTACTTCATCTCCTTCCGACATTTCTCTTCTTGTATGATGCAACGTCGTGCCCAACCGTGGACCACAGCATCTGCACGCGACCCTGCATCCTGCTTTTCTTGAGGATTTTCTATTCCGGCCAAACCATCAAGTCACGGTCATCCTGTGCAATGATTATTATATTTTAAGCTAACTTAAGTGACATTGTCCCAACCCGGTGGGAAACAACGCAACTATTTATGTACCAAGGTATTGTTGTATGTCAATATCTTATAATTGTTCCGCAACGCTGGGAGAATCTGGAGGCCCAGGCCCACGACTCCACGAGGCCTGATATACATTTCGTTTATATCGTTAACTTCCGTCGTACCCTGCCATGTGGTGACTGCAACGGAGATCCGATTTCTTTGTATCAGGCTGTGGCTGGATCTGCCAGTTTCCAAAGTTGTTGCACATGTGTATGAGTGCAGTAGAATTTGATCTACCTTAAACATAGATTATTGTATTTCTGCTCAACATGTTTTCGATTTGATGCTGAATGTTACGTTTTGTTTTTTGCTCTTTCTCCGCAAGTGAGACCCTATTGTCTCTTCATGTCAAGTGTGGGGACAGGATCCTACCTAGATTAACATTTCTGAAAACGGCTGCATAGGTGCTCCGGATAAGTAGCCAGAGTCTATTCCATCCGACCTAGCTGTCTGACAGCCGGCCTGAGTCTGGAGCCAAAGCTCTGATAGGGGGAAGCCAACCTCGGACAAGCGAAGATACGGAGAAACATCCTCAAATATCACATGCACGGAATGATCCCTTTTGAGACCATTTAAAGATACTAATCTCATTTATTCTTACGATGTATTAGATCCATGGTCCCATGATCATCCTGCCATCTCTACACAGGTCTGTCGATGGTCTTTGGGAGCGGGTATTTACCCTAGGCACCTGCGTATCTTTTGCGTGTCTCCTCCCCCCCCCCCATGCTCCCTCCTCTACTCAACTCCTCTCCTTTCTCTATATCCAGCTCTCCCCCACCCCACTTGGGATCGAACAAGTCAACTAAACCCGGGCATGCTGATATATTCCGGGGACATTTTCCCCATTTCCCCTCCCTTGTCCCCATTAACTACTCTATGTTACATCATAACCACTCTGTGTCTCTCACCTGAATAAGCCCCCTAGTTGCACACAATGCGTGTACGGTGAATTCACAGATACAAAGCACAAACAAATCACAATCCCAACATATCATCGTCTACAATGCACCCCTAGAATCTCCCTGTATATGCCAGAACATCTCTTCACAGAGGTGTGGGGAATTTCTGTCATGTACATATGCAAACTGGTTGTTGTAAGTACAATCTCATTGAGTCGCTAGTTTGCAAGATACCTTGCCACAAACGGTTACCCGGTCCTCTCCCTCAGCCATCCAGCACTGCAGGAGAACGGCTCTGTTGTGTATCTTTAGAGGTGAAAGAAGGTCGCATCAGTTGGGTGAAATTTACTGGCTGTCCTCGTGATGACAATGGAGATGGAGAACGATGCTAGCTCACAGATTTGTCTGATATACCAAGTGGATTAAGCACGACGAAATGACAGACGTATTCGCTGGGTCTACGAACGAATAGGGCTCGTCACATGAATACTCCGGGTGCGTGGTCTACTTTGAATAGATAATAACTCGAGCAGACAAAACCATAAGAAAAGTCCTTTGTTTTGGAGAGTCTTCTGGATCCTGGATCAAGTAACTACCCAGGTTAGCTATGCATCGTTTCTTCTGTCAAGGTTAGGAGATAGTCAAGCAATCTTGCGGTTCCTACCGCAGGAATCTCGTCATTTAGGATGCGGATAACGTAGCCATATAATTTCTCCTGGAGTGAACAGGGCAAAAACTTGTTGCCCTAGCCATGCCCTCAACGGTGCCGTTTCAACCGGCCGTTGGTTTTCTCTCCTTTCGCAGGTTATCTGCCCAATTATATTGCTACTCTGACGTAACTATATTTGAATAGTTACCAAACAGTATTAGATAGGATCTCTCCCAGAAACCCCCGCTGCACCGACTTGATAAACTGGGTAAACTATATTTGTCCCGGTTGGTGAGTTGACTTTGAATCATGTCATCTCTAATAGCTGCCTTTTAAGACTGGCCTAAAGGATCCCCTCGACAAAGCAATCGTCAATTTCTCTGCAGCTGTTTCATCTTAACTTGGTCGTAGGCAGCCATGAGCCTAATTTAGGGCGTTTCATGCCACAACACCCAAGCTACTTCGGCTCTGAGCCAGTCGGCGGCGTTCCTGACCGACGAGCCATGCTGGTTTGGAACACCAACCCCAAAACCAACTTCAACTTCTCTGGCAAAAGAAGCAACGCTTCCAACTCCCTCTTCAAAACTCTTGTCCGTTGTCAACACTAATCAGTGGCAGCAAGCAACAGCAAATGACAGCAAGAAATAGGTTAAGCGTCATGGCCTTTTCAGACTGACTGGTCCTTGATTATGATCATTGCGAGGCAAAGTTATCTACGTGAACCCTGTTTGTCGCTGGCAGTCCCAACAGCGACGCGCCAGACTCTTCCAGGGCAAAGAGAGTGAGAAGAAAGCGGTAACTCCCCAAAAGTGAAATGAAAAGGTAAAAAAAAAAATATATAAATAAATAAATAAAAAAAAATGAAAAGAAGAAAATGATCGTCATCACTGGCATGTTGTTCCATGCAGTGGATCCCATATTGCTTGGAGAGATTCCCGCCGTCGCACCTCCAGGTGTCTTCTATTATTATTGACCCCGTGGAACAGGGCGCGTTATATATATCTCGGGCGGCTCGGGAAATGAACGCATCTTACCTCCAGGACTCGGGCGGCGTTTGAAACGCATTTTCCCCTTTGCTCTTCCTCGAAACCTAACCCTCGTCATGTGCATTGTTTGGTTGCACGCTGTCCTCTAGCAATCTATTGGCTAGCATTTCGCCTTTTCTAGCAGAGTGCTCCTGGATGCTATAAGGGGGATTTCTTCCCTGCTCTAATAATATTGAGAGCCCTCTCATGAACTCTCTGATGTATCATGATTGTCTCGTTGTACTTGGGCGTTTGGATGTTTGGGTGTTTGGGAGATCTATTGGATCTCACATATTTATTCGTCCTCAGTGAAGTATTTTTGGGGATTCTGCTTTTCTCTCATATTTTCTTCCCTTGGTTTTTCCCCTTCCTCTCTCTTTTCCTTCGGTTATTTGGTTGCATTTCTTTCCTGCTATTTATTTTGCTCTGCCTTGGTTTTTTCAGTGGGCAGGGGGAAACTTGACAATGAATCCCATTGTCAAACCCACCCATTTTTTTCTATATAATTTATTGCCTATGACCGGCTCTTCCCTCGTGCCGTGAATGAATGGAATGAATGAATGAATGACTTTCTAACCAAGTGTTTTAAGCTCCTTGTACTTATACTTTTATCATTCAACTTTCCTATCACACTCTTCTATTCATTTTCAACATTCTAGATGAAAGTTACCCCTTGCCTTCATCCCCATTCATTGAAGGATATATTGAAATATGTTCATGGTGAGTTCCGTGTTAATGTGCCTAAAATGTTTTGCCCCGACACAGATCCAATCACCCGCTTTCCGCCATCCATAGAATTGTGCTTGGTTTTATGCTTCTCTTCTGCTGCCATTTGCATGTTTTCTCTTCTTTGCTCGATGTGTCTTTTCACTCCCAGCCCTCACTGACACTGGTAGAAGCATCTATTCAAATCTCTTGACATCGCTGGCCGTGTCTTTCTTCAATCATCATCATCATTATTATCATCGATATCGATATCAACATCGACTTCAGCATCACCAGCGTTTTGCTATACGTCAACTCCCATTTCTTTGACGTCATTTACTCAAACTGTATATTCTCTTCTCACGTATCGACCACAAGAACACGCGGAACCACGATCGCTATGCGCAAGCTGCGATCAATATTAGCCTTGACGGCCAGTGCTCTTTACCTTTTCCCAACCATTGCGGGGCATAGTTGGGTTGAGGATCTCACCTTGATCGCGCCAAACGGTACCTTTACGGGCCCTCATGGTTATTCTCGTGGATTTGCTCCTCGCAAGGAGGGCTATAAAGATGCATTAATGAAACATCAACTACCTCCCGAACGGGCCCTATTACCTGGAGAAGCAACAGCTGGGATCCTCCCCAACGACACTATGTGCAAGGAATCTCAACTCGAACCAATTCAATCTGATGGATTTCCGCGTCTGAAGGCTCCACCAGGAGCACCAATCGCATTGAGATACTTAGAGAACGGTCATGTATCTTTTCCAAATACCCCTGAGGGCAAACCTCATGGAGGTGGCAAGGTATATGTATATGGTACGACACAGCCCCGACGCAGGGAAACATTTTGTTCAATTCACAATGTCTGGAACAAGGAGGGAACTGGTGGTGATCGTAGGGGAATGCTGCTTTCAGTGCATAACTTTGATGATGGCAGATGTCATCAGATAACCAGCGGAAGTCCAATTTCAAAGCACCGACAAAACCAGTTCTCGTACAGAATCAACGGCAATAATGCAGAGCTCTGGTGTCAACACGATCTCGCTCTTCCACAAAACGCCCCCGTCGGGAAGCCATACACACTCTACTGGGTATGGATCTGGGACACAATGCCTAATATAGACCCGAATGTGAAGTCGGGCAAACAAGAGACATACACGACCTGTCTGGATGTTGACATTATCGCACCGTCAGGCGATCTGAAGGTGGCGACCAAGGGAGAATTGCCTATGTTGAAATATGTTCAAGATCAAGATGTTGGCTCGGCTGCGATACCATCCCAGTTTGAGAACCTTAAAGCTCCGATTATTCCTGGCTATTCGAGCTCAAATCCCCCAGCTTTAGAGAAACCAGCGTCAACTACTAGAGCGCCAGCTCCATCGGCTTTTAAGCCTAAACCTGAGCCAGAGCAAGAGCCAGAGCCAGAGCCAGAAGATGACGATTGTGACACCCCTTCCACGACTGTTTCAGGTGAGTAATGACACGGTATAACCGCGATTTTGACATCCTTTTCCGTTTCTTTCTCCCTCTATTCTTCAACGCCCTCCAGCACCCAATGAGACTCTAACCACTCACTGCCTCTCAGCACCCCAAACACCCTCTAAGACCCCATCAAATTCAAAACCCGCCATCATTCCTTTGTTTGCTTCTACATCATCCTCAGCAACTGCTACAGCGTCCATCTCTTCGGCATCTCCTGATTCTGCCTCCACAAGCAACAATGGTGGCGCCATACGTACGACCTTTCGAATGACCTTCGGCTCGATTGTGAGGGGCGGTTCTGCTACAGCTAGCTCCACGCCAACAACCGTCCCTGAATCAAGTTCTACGAAATCACCTGGGGATGCATTTAGAATCATCCCCTCTGCTAATATTTCACCGAGCCTTTCATCTTATCCCTTGCTCATTTCTGGAATTAATTTTGGACCAGCAACTGCAACAACTGCTGCTGCCCCATTCCTAGCCACATATGAAGTTGTTGCGTCCAGTCAAGCCTCCTCACCAGACTCAATCCCGACCCCGTCAACTTCAGAGTCTCTCTTGGTGATTTCTATAGTGAACTCTGGGCCCGCATCTGCAGTAATTGCCATCACCCCATCCCTATCTTCTGATGATATTGTTGCACCCACTCCACCACCCTCATCAGACTCAATCTCAACATCGAGTGAGAACGATGAATTTGTAGTCTCTCCAATAACTCTGGGTGACGATGGATTGGTATTACATTCCACCCCAAGCACCGCAGCACGACTCACCCCCAAAACTACAGCTCTCCGTAGCACCACAACTATAACTACATCTTCCACTGCAAGTGCCACAGCACCACCCAACGAAAAAACTACAACTATCCGTGTCACTAGCACCATAACCATATCCTCCACAACCACCCAACCACCCCAATCAACAGCAACATGTCCAGAATCCAACCCACCCGCCACCATCCTATTACCCTCCCGTTTGCCCAGTAGTAACAATGCGTCGTATAATATATCTTTAACCATTCTCCCAACACAAACAGAACTCTCCCTCCCCAAGGCAATCGAATACCTGAAAACCACAGTTACTGTAAAAGAAACAATAACCATCTACGCTACCTCCACACCCGTTGTGCCCCCTGGACAAGAGCAGCCGCAAGCTCAAGCGCAGATGGCCTCCTCCTCCGCATCCCCGTCGTCTGGGTTCATAGTATCGACTCGCCCGTCTCCACCTCAATCCTCGCCTTCAGCAGCAGAACTTCAACCAGAAGTGACTCCAGGAGCAGACTGTGATTTAAACGATCAAGCTGCTCCGTCCCAGTCACCAGGGCCACCCCCTCCTCCGGCGGCACCGAGCAAAAGAGCATTCCGAACACTGAGCTCCCGTTTTCGAAGGAACCTGGCTGAAATCCTCTCCAATCGTCAGATTGAGTGAAATGAGATTCATTGTGATAGTAAAGGCGTGTGAACACGGATTGATGTTGAATCTCCCCTCCTCGCACTGAGGGTCAAGCTGATGATCCTGGGAGCCTTGCCTCCTCGACGATTGAAACAACCGAACGACAGGGCGGCAGATTCCATACCCAGGGACGTCCTGATTATTTGAAGACAAATCTACACCCGAAAGTATGGACAACTGCATCCTCCACCCACTCCATGGCTGGATCCAGAGACATAGGCGGAGGCTGAAACCTTTCGTGTTCACCCCATTCCTGCCAATCTCGTTCTCTCAATGGATGTTTTGCACCGTTGAGCCACGACGGGGTTGTTCAGACACGCTATCGCCCTCGAAGATCTCGCGTTACTTTTCCTTTTTATGTTTAAGAGTTGTACAGTGTTTCTTATATTATGGCATATCACAATGCATATCACCCTGCATGGAATTTAGGTGTTGCTTGTTTCTCTACTCTGCATGGTTTTTCTTATGATGTTTTATCTGCTCAGATCTGCGATCTGTGGGACTCCCGTTTTTGGTAGCGACTCGACTAGTCGTATTTCTTTTGTTACAGTGCTTTCCTTTCTCGCAACGCGTGTTTCATTATTTTTGTAACTTGATTGCTGTATTTTTATTTTATTTTATTTTTCTTGGTTGGCGAGGGATATGGTCGATTGTTGGCATTATGACGCGCTTATCCTGCGACCCTATTTGTTATATAAAGTTTTCATATTGGGATGGGAGAGCGAATAGGATTTGAAAAGGGATGAGGAAGATGCCTTTGGAAAACCTCCTTTCCGTTAGAGTCGCGGGAAGGTATACGAACTTTTTATATTCTGGAAAGACAAATCCAACCCCATGTCCCATATAACTGCTGTTCTGTTTCTAAAGACAATTTCCTCATCAAATAACTAGTTCCTGAAACCTTTGTGAATCATTTGAGGAAACAAAGAAACAAGCCACGTCAAACATCAAATCTATAGTTAACTACCTACCCATAAAACTCTACCATCCATGTCTTATCCTGCTTCCTAAGATCCACCACTATAAATATCCAACCCCAGGCGTTCAACTACGAACAAAACCCACCCCCTGATACCATCCCATCGATATATATTTGCGAAACAATAGAGCCACGCTGACAAGTCGTTAAGGTTTAACGGTCCCTTGCGCTACTCCAACGGCTAGGAGATGGAGCTATTCCTTTTGTGGCGAGGATAGGTGCAGTGAGCATGGAGTAGTCTGTCTATTGGCATTGTGCAAAGGGGTTTATTTGGGCTCCTGGTACCTCCGTAATCAATGCAGACTTGATATCCAGTTTCTTCAAGGAAGTCAATTTACCATTTGATGTAGGCCGTCGTTGCTTACTCTTCCAGGTGCTACGTATTCTGAAGTAACAGCTTCGCAAGAGGTATGTCATTGATATATCATCTTCTATTCAAATGAGGACCCATTTTCCAATTATAGTTTTATGTTTCCCTGGGTTTACAGCCCTGAAGTTGGTTGATATTGATATTCTCGTGTTACTCCCACAGTGACAGGAACCATCTGAATATGCAGCTTTCTCAATATCCCATCTACAAAAGTAGGAATAAAAGATTTGGGTTGTTGTTTCTATCTCTCTTTGAACCTTTTTAAACCTTCTGTCGGTAAAGGCATCTAGTATTCGATGGTTTCTTGTGCTTCTACTTCCTGATTGCCCATCGGATGCATCCTCGAAGACATGGATCTTATTTTCAGAAGAAATCCGTCTCATTTTGTATTCACGAATTGAAACGTTATGCAACATGCCTGATCTCAGGATTTGGTTGATGCAAAACAAGAAGATGTGCGAAGAAACTTCTTCCAGAGCTTTGGACAAGTTGGAAAAGAGTATTCACATCTTCAAGAAGTATTCTACATGGCTCTTTGAGGAGTCCATTCGCCTGTTCCAGTTTCAATAGTGGTGCCACTTGTGAGAGGAAACAGTGGACTTGTTTCTTCATCATTACAATTATCTATGGCAGCAGGTTTCAATTCTTCATAATATACTACAGTATTCCGAAGTTAGTTACATGATCAATCACATCAATTCAGTGAATTAAAATTGGGGGAAGCATAGAAATAATAATATTCCTGTCTGCGAACACAGTATAATTTTACACTTCCAAGCTGGGCCATATTTTGCCTTTCTGAAGAAAAAGACTCCGGCAACGTTTCACCTCCCCCATCTTCTTGCTCGCGCCTAGATCTAGGGAGTCGGTGGCTACACGTTTGTTCAAGACGTTCCAAGGTGGCATTTCGACAAGCTTTCTCGGTGTTGTTCGGACAGGTTACGCGCGACAGCTTACAGGGCTGCAATGGCCGGGCTGCAGGGGCGAAAATGACACACCGTCTCCAAATACGAGCTCCTATGACGAGTGCCATAATCCCGATGATCTGGTGAGGGCAATGAGGGGAATGTAGCTGAAAATGCCAGATGACAGAACGAAAATAGACAATACAGTCTCCTCCCTACAGTTACAGAATTGAGAAAGGGAAAACCTCCATGGTTGAGCTCCAACAGCTCGCTTCACATAAATTGGCGTCTTGCTCAGTTCCACCAATTTAGTTAGCAGCAGTTTTCGTCAGCGATGTTTATTACGATCTGATCTTTTAAACCTCCGCGGTTACGTGTTCGATTCATCTTCATTCTCCACCGTGCCCATCGCTCACCCTGTCTCGACATTTTCTAAAAACTAAAGGGTAACATTACTAACCGAGGACCATGAGCTATCCACGCAAACGCACATTTCTTGCGTGCGATTTCTGTCGCCAAAGGTCAGTTAGCTCGAGTTCATGCTGCAGTTGGCCTGCCAAGCGGAACCAGCCCTGAAGATCTGTCCTCGCATGGCAGTTCGGATCAGAGGGTACCGTATTTGTGTAATATCCGCCCCAATTAACTTTCTGATACTAACATCGTTCCCCTTCTAGAAAACGTCGCTGCGATGGGAAGAAGCCAGTGTGTGGCAATTGCACCGAGGCAGAGGCAAACTGTCACTACCAGGAGCTCCCAACTCAGCGGTATGCGCGGTAACTGTCAGTTATTACCTTTAATATAGGGGGACATTGACGGATGCCTTTCATACAGCCTGGATCCTTCAACTATTCCGGCAACAATATCAAGACGATTCGAACGGATCGAAACGCTGCTCCAGACGCATTCGGAAGCAATCGCTGCTATTTCTCAACAGCACGCTTTAGGGGCATTACCATCATCACAGGCAGCCTCGGATGTTCTCCCTTTACCGGCATATTCAACAACTGGGCCCCCGCCACAGGCTAGCTTATCCTGCACCAATACACTGCACGCCAAATCTCCATCAGTTTCGCGAACGCCGGTCCCGGATGCCGGTCCCGAATTTGCTGACCCGAGTGCGGAATTACCCTCTTTCATAATCCCGTCAATACATCAGACATCAACAAATAGTCTGCTAGCGTTACCAATCGTTAAGTCTTTGGCAGGAGAGTTTCCAGAAGATTACTTCTTTCGAACAGAGTCCCAGCGATCTCCGCCGCCGGGGAGCTGGATGACTCCCGAACAGAATCTGCCGTATATCAGCAGAGATGTCACTGATTTGCTAATAGCTACGTTCTTTTCCATGGTTCATCCGTGCCATCCGATTCTAGATCCCGACGAATTTTACACGACATATGAAAACGTAATGGCCACCGGTCTAGATTTCAGCTTGCAGTCGGCCCTGTGTCTTGTGGTTTTTGCGCTGGGGGTTGTTGCCTCACAAGCTTCAGGGGATGGCGCCCGCAGTGGTGACTGGGCTCCTGGGATGGAATACTTCCAACCTGCATTGCAGATTCTCATGGCAGAGTCTGCGGTATCGTTGGGGTCTAACTTACTTCTGCCTCAGACCTTGATATTCGGTGGAGTTTACTTTGCTTATATAGCGCGACCTCTGCATACCTGGAAGCTCATTCATTTAGCTTCTACAGATGTGCAGTTGCTGTTGTCCAGGTTAGTGGTTGGACGCAATATTTGGGACTACGGAGGGTTCAAGAGCTCAGTTAACGAACTTGCAGGAGTAAAGATATCGATGCCGACGAATCTTACAAAGAGCGGATCTTGGAGGCTTGCTGGAGCTGCTTTCTTATTGAATGGTTAGTTTGCACGAATTATCTATATTCCATGAAAAAAGAAAGTAAGAAGGGAAAAGCCCGGGTTATCCCAAGTTCATATTATATTTAGTGACCTCCTTGGCGAGTTTAACCTTCCACGAAGTGGAATCGAAACTTTCGTCGATGAGATGCCGTTTCCCAAAGCTGGCAATCTAACCGATCGAGACGAACTGAGCTACCTTGCAGAGATATCGATGAGACGCCTCCTTAACCGAGTTGACAACTCGATATGTAGCAGAGCGGAAACCAGCTCCAAGTCTGATATATCCGCGTTGGCAATGTCTATGACATCGCTGACAACGATCACGTCCGAACTTGATCAACAACTTTTACTATGGTACAACTCTGTCCCAGATATAATCAAACCAACTCTTGGTGTAGATTCAAATATCGATGATCGCGAAAGGATGCTGAGGATTCGCTACTATGCAGCAAGGCACATCATTCACCGTCAATATGTTTTATATGCCGTTTCACTCCCGGGGGGCGTGGAGCCCACACAGATGATCTTGGAGAAATCACAGGTCTGTATCGAGAGCTGTCGGCTATTCCTGCAGAATACAGGAGAAATTTTAAAGAAGCCTTCGCAGTACACTTGGACACTATCGTATTCGTGAGTTGGATTTTCTTCTCCCTGGCACTATGGCTACCTCTCCTATATGTCCATTATCATCTAAGCTCTAACCGCAGACGCTTCAGATCTCTGGGTGCAGTTCTAGTCTTGACCATTGCCTCACAGTCTCCACATCTAAAACACTTGGTTCCAGATATCCTTCCCCTACAACAAATTCTAATGGAGAATACCACAAGATGGGCTGCCCCAGAGTCCAGCTTTGAAACCATTGTATGGATTCTAAGTGACATAATAAGAAAACAGCAATCCGCTGATTCTTTTCCACCACTGTACTCTTTTAATACCAAACCGACACAAAATCAGTCTAACATATCCCCAGAATAGAATCAATTTCTCCATTCCTAGGAGTATATTATTTTTGAAATCCAAAATCAGCACAAGCTCCCTATAGTTTCAGAGAAGAAGATGGATGTTGAACAATACGGAGTAGGAACTTGAGAAAAGAGAGATTGAGTTGGGAGAATCGTGCCTTGTAATTATGGCCATTGCCGCTTAAGAAAGGAAAGAGAAGCGAGAATGAGAGGAATGGGCTGAGTGTGAGTCTATGATACTAGTTGTTGGATGTTTAGCAATACTTATGATATCCATGAGTTGTGTAATGAATGAAAGAATGCTAGCAGGAAATATTCCTTGTCATAGACATACGGAGGTTATCGGCATGGAAGAAACACATTCCTATCACAGATAGGAGAAGAAAGGAGAGAGAGAGAGAGAGAGAGAGAGAGAGAGAGAGAGAGAGAAAGAAAAAAGTTCAGACTTCGAAAGACAATTTTCTGTCTCTATAGTTCAATAACAGTCACAGCATCAGAACTGTCTAAAAGAGTCAACAAACCCTGAGTGATGTCCTCGATCATGCTGCCATATACCTACCTCAAAAAGGTTTCGCATCTTTGAAGTGTAGCACGGGCAAACTGGTAGAGTCGCGTAAATAAAATAACATACGCAGCACCCAACATCATTCCAGTGCGAGACTGCTGCTAATGAGCAAAGGCACATCATACTGCACATGTAGATCCACCACGCTCGCCTCAACCCATCTCAATTAGTTACTTGATACCGGTATTGGACTGGAGAAACACTGTCCTGGAATTTTCTGCCGTCAACCAGAAGACATGCTATCAACATACCCTGTCCCCCGAACAATGGGGCGTGCCAGTCACAGGGCCCCCCATTCCTTACATCCGCTGGAAGCTGGTAGAGAGGGCAAAAGACATTGGAGATAGGTAGCGTGGTTCCGGATGCGGCGAAAAAGGCACAAATAACGGGAATCAGGGGGGGAGGGGGGGGGAAGAAAAGGTTGTTTAAAAAAAATAAAATAAAAAAAAATAAAAAATAACGAAATCTGCACACGGATCCACAGAGAAGAGACTGCAACTCCACAAATCAGTAGAAGTATAAAACGGGTACGGGAGGGATATTAGGGGCAACTAAGTGAAGCGAGTTGCACATCCTCTTATCCCGTCAAACCCCAGAGTCCTATTGATCGCATAACGAGCTAAGATTTGGTAACTATTGATAAGTTACCTGATAGAATATTCACTGCAGTTGGCAGAATATAATAATCAGTCACTGGTCAATTCCAGTAGATCTCTGTGTATATTGTCTGATGAGGATACAACAACTGTGTATCTCTGCGTTTATTAATCTGATACGCATATATATTTTATTTGCCCCGGCGTTCCTACGTATTGATTGGCTGCTCGCTAACCCACACCAGATGCAATACTATTTATAGCCCCATCGGTGTGTGTGTGTTCCTCTACCCGCCCCAACTTTTGTGCTGTTCAGGCTCCTCAAATCAAACATCCAACGTCCTCAAACTTCCCGTCAGCCCAAAGTTGCTTTTGATTTGCCCCCCGCCGCCAAACATCGAGACCTTCAAACCAGCCTGCACAGTCCGCTCTGATTGTTCTTCCCCCTCCCTCTCTCAACCTCTTTGCCACTTATTCCACTCCTCCCCCTGGTTTGCCTGCTGGCCCCGTATCGCCCCGCCACTACCGCTTTTTATTTATTTATTTATTTATTTATTTTACCTTTCAGCTTATTCTCCCTGGGTATCTGTTGATCAGATCTTGCCCCAGACTTAACTAATGCTGCCTGGTGCCTAGCAACGACAACAAGCACGGTAGGTACCTATTTCGCCTCTGCGGCCTCTCCGCGCCCCATCCACCAATATCTCTCTGGCCACCGGCTCTCTACTGAATAACTAACCCTCGTATCTCTTTTCACAGCTGAAGCACAGCCGATCTAGCTCCTTAACGTTAAAACTCTTTTTGAATCGGCGCTTATTCGGCTCCATTTACCACCACCAACCACCCACCCCACCCTCGTCTACTCCAGTCAGCACATAAGCCTTCTATCTCCTGCACACCCTGTCGACTTGCTACTTGTGACTCCCATAATTGTTTCGAAACATTCTTGTCGTACTGGATCTCTTATTGGGCGAGTTCTCTCTCCTCAGGCGTATCGCATTCCACATTAATAATCAAACTCCTTCCTACCCCCCTCCTACGACGGCCGTAAATGAGCAATCGCGACGTGTGCGGGGACAAAATTTTTGTAATAGTTGTTGCTCTTACAAATCCAGGTGCCATCTCTTTCTCCGCGACGGCCTGGTTGCTCTCTCGTTTGTGGGATTCTCTGCACGTCGACATATTTGCTGGAGTCACTTGATGTCCTATATATGAATATGGACCGCTAGGACTGTGGAGGAAATCATTCACGAATACTTCTACGGGCTTTACGTATTGAATAAGCGATTCACGTTTGACGGATAATCCATACAAATAGCACAACTTAAAACATTCGCGCAAACACATGGGGATTGGAACCATCCCGTGTTCCTCATCCAGTGTCTCAATGTCTACGACGATACCCCCTCCCGCCTCTTCCCCCTCTGAGGTTAACAAATTCTCCTCAATCCCGACCATTTCTCCTATTCCATCACTCACAACATCACCGGCCTCAAGACGGTCAAATATTCAACGGCCATCATCATTTGCAAAGAATCGCTTGTCAACATACTCCTCCACCTCCCCCACCTCTCAAAATTGCTCACGTCCCGCATCGCACGCTTTTCCAATTTTCCATTCAAGTCTCCCCTATGCCTTGGTACGAGACTTCGCCTACCCACCCATCCATCCTCTCCATTACGGGTCACCCTCAATTGAGTCAGGCATCTCTTCTCCGGTGAGCGAAGCTCGACGGTTATCCGATCCCGCCGGACCCTCATGGGATGGCGCACGCAGTCATTGGCCTTCGACGTCATGGAATCCAGACACTATGTATAGCAATCAGCAACTCCCTGCAATGACGTTTGGAGATGGTCCTCCCTATAGTGAAGATGAAGACTTGCATAGCCCCGTCGTGACAACGACCCGACACCGCAAACATAAATCTGCATATGCAGGGTCCGAATATCACAGAGGGAGAAGTCCCGCTGCTAACAATGGCGATTCATCTTATTCCGCTCAAGGTGATGAGAGAGGTATTCTTGTTGGGGTAAACGGCGACGGGAGCACGACATATTACGTCAAAGATCATGATGCCGTTGAAGACGGACCAGGAGGGGAATATGTTATATACCCAGCCAGAGATAGCGTTGGTGGACCATCATACCTGAGCCCGAACTCACATCGTCAACTTGGTCGACGCAGAGACTCCCATTTCGCCGCGTCATTCCAAGGCAGACAAACCCTCGAACCAGACATGGAACTACAATCCGACGACGACATTTCGGAAGATGATGAGGCGTGGAGAGATTCCTCACGCTATTCCCGAGATTACCAATTCACAATCGTGTCGCCTGATGAAGAAATGCACGGCAAAGCCGTTGCGCTTTTCGACTTTGATCGCGAACATGAGAATGAGCTCCCGCTCAAGGAGGGCCAGGTTATATTGGTGTCTTATCGCCATGGGCAAGGCTGGCTCGTTGCTGAGGACCCCAAGACGGGAGAGAGCGGACTTGTGCCGGAGGAATTCGTTCGTTTAGTTCGGGATATCGAGGGGGGCCTTAATGGGCTGAACGGTGCGCTTTCTGGTTCCTTGACAGTGGGAGGAGAAACCCCCTCTCCGGATTCAGAATCTACGCCAACTCAGTGTGAAAACCACAATGAACTACCGGCCCGTGACACCTCATCCGACCAGTCTGCGCAGCAACAACAGAGTAACGGCAATACACCTAACGATACCGACGAGAACACCAACACACACCCCCCCACCACCACCACCAACAACAACAACAACAACAACAACAACAACAGTAATCATCACCAATTCAAGTGTACCGCCTCCCCCTCAAATATTAACACAAAAGGCAAACCCCAACAGGACGGAGAAAATAATCGTAATGGCAATCACAAAGACCACACCCGCGAAAAGAAGCAAAACCCTGCCATCCTCTCAACCTTCTCTACGAGCAGTCGCGATCTAGATCCCTACCCACTAGCAGGACATCAGCATCGGAAATCAACACCACCACAAATTGAACATTACGATGGCGGTGGCATAGGGAACGGAACAGGCACAGGCACAGGCGCAGGAAACCTGAGCTTGATGCCGTCTGGGATATGGGAATCATCCGTGTGCCCGAACAGTCTCCCTAATAATAAGCAGAGGACGCGGTCAGGGGAGGGGAAGGCGGGTGAAGTGACAAAATGACGGGGTGATTTATCGATCGCTTTGACGGTGTCAAATCTTTCTTCCCCTTTTCCCAATTTTTGTTGTGTTTTGTTTCTTCTTGCTGCTTGAGGAAAATTGGCTGGTGGGAGGGAGGGAGTCTTTTTTGATCCTTTTGCGCTTTGCATTTTGGCCTCTGGCCTTTACCTTGCATCTTGCTTTATTTTATTCTGCTTTTTTTCCCTTTGTAGGCTAACCCTTCGGTCTTTTTTCGTGTTCATTTTCCCATTTGGTATCCGTCGTGTGCAAGGCCAATCGTCCTCGGAAAGGCGTTTGTTGTGTATGGTATGTTTTTTACTTCTTTTTTTTACTTCTTTTTTCTTTTTGTTCCAAATATTTACCCATTATCCTTGCTTGTTTTGAAGGCCTCTTTTCCCCATTGACGTGTTCTATGAACCAAATCATTATATATTACTTTTCCCCGCGTTTCCTCGCAACATAGGATGAACAAATAATCAAGTGAGCGCTCTTATTCTCTGTCGTGAATAGGGCTCAATTAGTTTATCTAGCTATCTAGGTACCTAAGCTGCTATTTAGCACCGCTCATCTTTTTTTTTTTTTTTTTTTTTTTTTTTTCGGGTGGGGGGAGGTCTTGTTTCTTCTCACCTTTCCACCTTTTCCCATCTTGCCAAAGCTCATCCACAGTAACGCTCACGTCATAGGCATCCTAGCCTCTTCGAGATCGAGAGAGAAAAAGAAAAAATCATGCCAACTTCAAAATATGTTTACCTTTTCTGTCCACCCTTCATTCCCATTCTGACTCTCATAGGGGGAAAAAAAAAACCGAATCCGTATCTCAACCCCAATATACTGAGGAACACGCAAAATGGGAAATCGAATTTTGGGATAAATGAGAGATCGTATTCTAAAATAAAATGCCGGTCACTTCTCCTCTGCGTCAAAAAAGATGATCATATTTAGTGACTGGTTTCCTCGAAATAGGTAACTCTAAGTAGGACACCTAGGTAGTTTAAGTTGAATAGGAGAAGCGGGGCAAGCAAATGTAAGTCAAAAATACGACACATGATTCGAGAACCCAAAGGAGATATCTGAATTGGTACCTATGTCACCTGCTTACCCTAAGTCCCAACCCGACATAAACACACGCATCGTCTGTCTGCTTGCTGCTAAAATTCAAAACTAAATATATAAGTAAAAACAGAACTAAAAGAAGTGAAAAAGAAATTGAAGAGATAAAAAACCGTTGCTCCGTTCGTTCCCAGTCTTTTGTTGCTCTTCTTAAGATCAATCGTCCACATCTTCCAATATTCGTTCTGTTCTCTTCTAATTACACCCTGTCCTCCTCCTCTTCCTCCTTCTTTCTCAAACACCGCCATTAACCCTCCACTTCTAGCAATGTCTCACCCCTCTCTCTCTCCATTCCATATCCAAAAACCCATCTCAACCCAACAGATCATTGAACCCGCTACTGCTGCTCTGCGGCTTCGTGCCCTGCGACATGCTGTTTCCCAGGTTCGGAGTAGCACTAGGAGCTCCCCATAAGCTTGCACTCGTCTTCTCCTTCGCCATGCTAGCGAGATTAGGGCCCTTGGACTGTTGTGTGGACGTAGACTTAAGACCGGCGTTGCTACTGGCGGTAGACCAGAGGCTGCCAAATGCATCACCGCCTGATTTCGCTTTCGTGGCAGCTGGGCTGCTAGCCGACTTGCTGCCGGACAGTGAAGGGGCGAGAGATGATAGGGGGGGTTTAGCTTGATTTTGGGAGGCTGGTTGTGGTGCTGGAACAGAGGTGAAGTAATTTGGTTGTGGAGCTTGGTAGCCTGCTGGCGTTGGTGGCTGTGACTGAATAGAAGCTGCTGATAAACCACCACTCAGACTGATTGGTTGGGTAGATGTTGTGGAAATATTACTTGGGGATGGTGAGGTGAAATCGACAAGCCCGTTTAGATTGGCGTTCTGAGCGCCGGACACGGGCTGTGGAGCTGCATATTGGGTGGTTCTTGGTGTAGTCGATGGAGCCAGGGTTGGAGGGAGAACGGAGGAGAATTGCTGTTGGGATGGGGCAGCCTGGGCAGAGGAGGGGGCAGACTGGAAATCATCAAAATCATCATCGTCTGCAATGTTTTGGGTGACGAGGGTGTTTTTCCGACCTCCAGTTGTTTGGTTTCCAGAGATGCTGGAGAGCATGTTTGAGGGTGCAGAAATTGATGGAGCGGCGGCAAGATCTTCACTGTTGTCTGAGAACAAGTCCAACTCCGGTTTCTTGGACGGCTCAGGTTTTTTGGACTCTTGTCTAGCAGATGTTGTAGAGGTCGTGTTCACCCTGCGCTGGGTAGATGGAGCCGGAGTGATATCATCACCCTCGTCGTATTCTTCAAAACGATTACTCCTCCTCCCGCTGTCTTCATATGCCCCGCTAGTGCTACCTCCAAATCCACCTCCATCCCCATATACCCCTCCGCTATAACCGCCGTATGATGCGTCCTCCCTTCCAAACCCACCATATCGAGAACCTCCTCCAAACGAACTTAGAACCATACCACCTTCAATTCCTCCAAATTTATTCCGATTAGCTCTTGCCTTCTTTCTCTCCGCACGGATGGCGTCGACGTCGCTCAAAAGTTTTGCCAGCTCTTGGGAGCGGTTGCGCACGTTTACGCCTTGATCCTTTCCATTCTGATCGATGTAGTGAAATTGGCGTAGCATTCGGAGGAGAGAAACGTGGGAACGAGCATCGTCAACGACGCGTTCTGAGCCATTTTTAATAAGAAATTCAAGGAGTTGGAGTGCCTGGAAATAACAGAACTTGTTAGACATATCCAAGCCCGACACTAAAATTCTGATCTCAATCACATACCTTATAAATTTGTCGCCATTCCTCTGCAGTCTTCTCCGTAAATCGTTTGTATATCATTGGCATAATTTCATTGAGCAATTGACTGTGACATCACATAGATGTGGTTAATCGCGAAGTCCGCTAGAGAACAAATCAAGGAGGTGAGTTGAAAACCTACTAGTTATGGGTTGCATTTGCAATCTCCTGCATAAGGGTAGAAGAGGCACCCCAAGGTTCATTATTTGTAGCTTCTCGAACCTGTGCCCATTTGAATAAAGAAATGACATCAAATTCCAGTGAGCTAGACATGACAATATGCATAGTCACGGAGTCTGAAGCAACTTGACTAAATACTGACCTTCGCCTCCATCTCGGTATAGTTCATCACAGCTAATCAAAATCCAAAGCCGTGTCAATAATTAGCCAAAATAGTTCATTAAATGTCAAGGTAGTATAGAGGCAAATCTGACGGCAGCCGATACATAGCCAAGCTGACCCACGCTGACCAACAAGGCAGAAGGAAAAGAAACAAAAACCAACCATTTTGCACTTTTCTGACACCAGCTTTGAGGTCATACAGCGTCAAATTGCTGACCTGGTCCTTTAAGGAGTTGAAATCCATTGTATGTATGTGTGGCGGTGCGCCTTCGGGAATTCAGGGACAAGGGAGAGGGGGAAAGAACTAGAGAACAAATTCGAGGGCGATGGGCCAAGGAGCGTGGCTCAATCCAAAGACGGCTGGTAGACTTATGCGTTGTACTATGTTTATATTCGTATATGGTAAACGCAACTAGATGCGGGCACAGCAAAGTCCCTGCACGGGGGAAGTTGGTTGTGGCAGGAGAAGAGAGTGGGAAGACGTCGGAAGTTGAAGTTGAAACAGATGTTGGTTTGGATATGCCCTTCCCTGTGCGGAGCCTCAGGCCAAAAAGGACTCACCAGGAGAGAAAGTTTTTCCGAGTCCCCGTTAGGTTTTGCTCTCGTGGCGGTGCTAGTTTTTTGTTTGGTTAGCGTGAACTAGGCAGATTCCAAGATCCAATCTCAGCCCTAAGGCACCATAATTAGACGGATTTTAAGGTCTCACAATATTTTAAGAAATGAATAGTTTGCTGGGGAAGGCTGTTACGGTGATCCCGCTTAATGAGGATGCGGACAAGTATCGGAACGCTCTGGAAGAGTGGATCTCTTAAGCACAGCAGTTGCAGGGCTTCTTAGTTGACGCAGTGGGTAGTTAAACCCGGAGATATTCAGAGTGGAAGATTGAGCCTCACGTTTTGCCCTTGCTCAAGGGTATATGGGCTTGCCTGTAGTAAGAAGCAATATTACAATTGCATATACGTTGCTAACAGGTTTTGAGGAATGGGTCTTTACTCTGTGGTGGTTCGCAATAACGGAGCCGTTGATCGTTACAAGAAGGCATATATACCATCCCATCAAGATAGTATCGGAGAATCCACAGCAGCTCATAGCGGACAGACAACAAATTAAAGTGGTTCTTGGCTGTTACGCAATCATGTAGGGAGACCTCCAACTAACTCCTTAGCTTGACTGTCTTTTCATCGGGGAAAGACCAGAAAAATAATTCAAGCGGGCTTGATATAATTAAAAGGGTCGAAGTGGCTGAAATGATGGAGAGGATTGAATGGTGGTGAGATGGTGCGGTGGATGTGAGAGATCAGCTCGGGGTCACAACCAAGATAAATACATAATTTTTCCATCCTGAGACTGTTAGGCAATGTTTAGAAGTACTATAGCATGAGGGGATCAGCTCACTCGATGCCTTCGCCAGCGTAGGCCTTGATGAAGTGAGCAAGTTGATTGAGGATGCTACCAAGCTCCACGACGATTTGCTTTGTATGAGCCGACATCTTGGATAGACAGGGCGAAATAACAATTGGAGCTCTCAAAAGTGGCCTCAAGTTTTGTTTAAAAGATCTCTTGCTGGTTCATTAATATTCTATGAAATCTACAAGTGGCAAAACTGACTACGTGGATAACTTCGCGCGTAAATAGTGGATATCGCATGATCATCCATCCTTTGGTCTAACCCTGGCAGGGTTTTGCTTTGATGAAGATGGAAGGTTGGTTGAGATCAATTTGGGGGGACCTCTCGATAGGTGGTGCCCGTCTTTTCAGGCGCACCGCTGGGGATGCCCAACAGCTTCCAATGCAAGAATACAAGAAATCACGTGGGACACAAACATATGGGTCTCATCATGGCAGAACCTTTAGAATAATCTCGTATAGTTCTGCAAAGAAGTTTTAGCACACTCAAATATTGGGGGAACCCAGATAATATATCCTCAAAACCATCCGCACCCATGCGGCTTCACTTAATTCTTTTGATTGATACCTGTGCTACGGAGCTCAGCGAGCGGCTGAGACGCATGATCAGTGCCAGTCGGCACAGCTAGTTAACTGCTCAGAAGCAGAGGCAGCGACAGAAAGTAACCATCACCACCCTTCTCACCCTTCACCGCTTCTGTCGCAGTTGCATCAGCCTCACCATCCCCAGCAGCTTATGAGGAGGCAGGCCGCACCGGGGGGTGCGCTTTTGAAGTCGTAGCGCTTATTGTCAAAGGGCATGCCGCGGCACAGGTCGGCGATGCTGGTGATGGTCTGTTGCCAATATTCCTTATGACCCTCTGGAAATTTTTTGGACCCGCTAACTCGAGGGATTCCACTTCCGACCGCCGCTTGTCTATCGTTTGCTCTCGTATACCCTAACACCTTTTCGAACCAGCCAGCAATGCTGCTTTCTCAGGAGGGAGGCAAGCACCTGTGACATCAAGACGGAACCATGGTTTTCTGCAGATCCGTAGTATTCTTGGCCCACTCTAGCCTGGGTGGAGCCGTTACGGTGCAATAGGTTAGTAGATCACGTGATTAACCATTGGGAGAGTTCAACGACAACTTCAAGCTCAACATCAATTTCACGAAGATGGAGTTTGACGAAACCCTGGATATATCAGAAGCATACTATATATTTCGTGTCAATTAATGTGTCAAGCTACGGGTCTTGAAGGTGGTATTTACCTTCATTTTCCGGCATTCCCTAACCTGTGTTGTTTTTCATGACTCTGTTCCGCTGCAGTTTCACAATAACGGGGGTTTCCTGGGTATGCCCGCGATCGTATTCGAGATTTGGACCGAATCTCGCTGCGAGATCAGAGCATATTGCAGCCTTAAACGGTTCAAAACATGTGATTATGACACTGTGCCCAGTATTCTATGGCTTTATGCTAGCTATTGACATTGCCAACTGTACCCCACATCTGGATGCGTTTCGACATGATGCAGGTCTTCCATCATCCATTCTTATTGAACACCTGCCAAAGCCTTTGGTAATGAACTGTGTTACTTATTCAAAAGAGCGTATGCAGAGAGCTGTCATCGGCATTCAGCAAGTTCACTCAGCTTTCATTGAGCATAATGATCCCTACCCGAAGAACATTCTCATTGTTCCTGGCCATCTTGAGAGAGTTGTCTGGGTTGATCTTGATGTTGCAATTGCTTATCCCAATGACATTTACATTGGAAAGAACGGACGCAGCCGGATTGAGTTTGAAACTGAAGTTGTTAAAAGCTTTGGACAGCTTCTTGTTCGTCTCCACAGGGACGCATTTGCTTGCTTTCCCTGGCCTGATAGAGGCTGACAATATTTATAGGAAGAAGATCAGGAAGAGGGTCCGCCACCCAAACACAAAATACTACTAGGAATGACTCCTTCATCTGTGCACAGACATACACCAAAGGACAAAATTATGGAAGCCGCCAGTCATTGTCTGCTGTGCCTTATAGAACGCAGGCACTTGGACCTTCCTGGATGCAGGCACTCGGGCCTTATAAGATAAAGAGAATAAATTCGTAATGTAATGAGTGTGATACTGAATACAGCTCTAGCACTTCCTTACAGAATGGAAAGTAGAATGAAAGAGGCCGAAACGAAGAGTTTTGCACTAGTCAGAGGGTAGTCCGGGCGTAGACTGTTTTGGTTAGGTAAAGGTTTAGGCACCACTATCAAAGTTTTAACACCTATATAGATATACTCCGATCTTCGGTTACAAGGTCTCGCTGGCCGGCTGGCGTAATGGCTAACGCATCCGTTTCCGGTTAGCATATCCTGTCTGCGGAAGATTGCAGGTTCGAGTCCTGCGTCGGTCGACATGTAACTCAATTTTTCTTGAATTCCATTTACATTCCTTGTTTTAAACTATTTCGCCCAGATTCCACCCTCGTGATTTTATTGCACGTTTCGAATAGTGGAGATGATAATCAACCTTCGGTAGTAGAATGGGCATCTAGTCTTCGCTTCCATCAACATTATATCAAAAAATTGTTACTGGGAACACCCACACACCCACACACCCATGACCGACGGGTATAACTAGTTAGTTAGTTAATAGCTATGATGACAATGCAAAACTAAAAAAAAATAGAACTTCCTGTTATCGCTTGAAATAACTCCTTTCCGCCGTCCGAAACACCATAAAAGAGACAAGTGCAAACCCAAATGCCAGTTCAAATCCAATATCGCCCCCAGACCTGCTTATCTTTTTGGCAATGGGCCCAACGAGCCATCTTTGCGACATCCCAACAACAACACCCCCAACACCACAGCAGAAAGCTCCAAACGCGGCAAAGGATGGAGGCAGCTTCGAAGGCGTGTCGTAATCTTCTACGTTGTAGCCGCTCGTTCCCCTTCTGAACACAATGTGTTCTCCCAGAGAGATGGCTTCATAGATGGCCAGCCAGTACCCCTGTCGAAGTTGGAAATTCAGAAGTAAGTATGGGAATCGTTTTCAATATCATATGAAGAGAAAAAACCAGGGGTCGAGATGAATCATACAGTGATCAACATAAAACCCTCCAATACAGATTCGAAATGAAGGAAGCCTGGAATTGCAACTCCAACATATATCAAACTTCCAATAAATGACCAGACATAACGAGGCACACGCTGGGTCTGTGAATGGAGAATTTGGAGACTGAACCCAAACGAATAGATATTCGGGGAATTGTTGCCAACAATACTCAGAGCCAGGATGATCAAGCAGAATCTACCAAATCCTCCTAGGCTAGGGAACAAAACATGTGCAAGCAAGCCTCCAACGTGGTTATCGCGGTAGGCTGCCGCATACTCCGGATTATTCACGGTAGCGGTGACAATGGCCAAACCCAGAGCTTCTGTGAAAACGAGGGAAGGGACCAGACCGAAGAATACGACAAGGAAGATCTTCTTCCGGCTAACGGTTGCCGGCTGATACACGCAGTAGTCAGCGGCCAGACAGGTCCAGCCAGTTATGAAGCCGAAGACGGCAGAGCCAAACGATAGGACTGGTGCTATTTCAGGAATGCCTGTTTTGAGCAGAAGATTCTCGAAATCTCCCGAATGCGCAAAGATTCCCATGATAATCACAAATACTATGAATACCGGGATCCAGCAGTATAGCTCATATGTGTGGACGGCCCTGTAGCCGAAGAGGGTTACGACAAATGTGGCAGCGCCGATCATGGTAATTGCCGCCCAGCTGGGGACGTTGTTGTCAACCGCTAGGATGAGTTGCGCTCCCACAATGACATTAACAGACGACCAACCCAGACATCCCAGGGCGTTGAGAAAGGCAGCTGATAGCTCCTGTTAGTGTTTCTTCTCTATCCCCCGGAAGCAAGAGTAAATCGACGAATATGAGAAATAGAAGCAGACCCAATTTCACTCCATAATATCCAAAATAGAATCGCGAAAGAACCAATTGTCTCATCCCGAACTTGGGCCCAAGTGTCGAAAAGAAACACACCGGCAAACCTCCAAGGATGTTGAAAAGGAGGATAACGAGAAAGCCGTCAACAAACCCCAATGCGAAAGCCGGCACCGCGAGGACCCCAATTGCAAATGAGCTAACGACCAGGTTGCACGAAAACCACTATGTGCAGAGAAGGGCAGCAATTCCCATGGTTGTTAATTTGAAAACATGATCCATTGCGCTATGATCAAAAGATATCACTCATGAACGGCCTATTCGAGGTCAATTGGAAATTGTGCCTACCAGTGTACCCAATTTCAACGTCGTGGTGTCCGTCCTTTCATGCTCGAGCACAGGCTCGATTCCCCTCTGCTCAACTCCATATCTTTCAGTAAAACTTTGCAGTTTCGTAAGGAACCCCTGGTCAACATCGATGCCCTCTGCCGGCGCTTGTTTCGTGTTATCTCTCAGACTTGGGTCCTTCGCGGCTGAACCGGTCTCAATATCTGCGAGATCAACCCCCATTGTGGACGGATGATATTTTGCGGTTTTTCCTTGCACCACTGGACCAATTGTGCACATCATCTGAAATTTGAAGGCATCGTAATAGGAAGAGGGGGAAGCTGAGGAATTGAGAGCGAACAAGTTTGAAATAGATGCCTGCACTCTTGCATATATAGTAACCAACACATATATTGAATGCTCACATTAAAATTTTATACAATAGATAAGAAGGTCACCGTGTGCGCAATAATATACGCGTATTACCATTGCTCTCATCATTATTCCTCTCGCGCTCTCACAAACGTTTGTTTTTGCTTTGTGAAACCATGCCGATCCCTCACACAGCTGTCTCAAAAGCAAGCTGAAAAAAGCTGAAATTGGAAATGTAGCCCGAGACACGCTGGCAAAAGGCACCAGTCTCGCCCAGGCGGTTATCAGCTATTACACAAAATGGTAGAGGCAACATTGCCAGCGGCACTACCTATAATGACCAGTGATAAGGGGTGTAGATGTAATGCTGCGTACGGAGCACTCCGAAGTCTGACAACGGCCAGTGACTACTTTGTAGCATTGGGCTGAACTTCAGCCCGCTGAGTCTATGGGATGGAATGTAAGAAAGGAGAAGAGAGTCCGATTGAAGTCAACCTTTAAGACAGGAGAAGGCAGTTCGAATACCATTGGGATCCCAAGAAAAAAGATTGAAAGGATTGAGGGGCAAGTCCGCAGTATTGCTGAATGCTCGTAGAAAACTCCACAGTCATTCTCACTTCAGGAACGGGGGCATCCAGCTGGCCGTCTGTTGATAAAACACAACCTGACATTGAATTTGGCACGAAACAACAGGTCATCTCAACCTTCACGGTAAGCTACGTAGGAAATTCATTTGCCAACATCACATAAAACTAAAGACTCAATTACTCTCTCAACTTCAACATGTTTTCTCTCATTAGTAACCCCCGAGAACCATAACTAACTACTAGATACATTTAGAAGCAGAGAATAATAAGGGAAACGGACCGAACGTAAAAATAAATTCATCAGGGAAACTGGCAATCCCGCCCCAATCGCCTGAAAAAGAAGAAAAGGGGAGGAATGAAACAAGCAGACCGGCTAGCTGAGGCGGTGTATGATCAATAAAATGCTTCAAGATACCAAACGAGCAACAGGGTGCCCCGAGGATGAATAACGAGCGACAGGGAACAAGGGGGGAACACAGCGGAAATATAGTCACAAAAGAGAATTAATTATAGACGCCGATGGCTCGAAATTTCGAACTCTGGATTAGCCCACTTCCTCCGGCCAGTTTCACGACTTCCTAAAGATCGGGATTCGGAGGTAGCAGAGAAGAGGATATAAATATGCAGGACATGACCGAATCAAGGGTCAAATATTTAGAGTGGAAAAAGAATCGACTGCAGAGTTTTAAAAAAACTAAAAATTGAAAATACAAAGAAGGGAGGGGGAAAACTACGAGGAAAAAAGATAAAACATAGAACAAGATAAAAAGGAGCTTCAATAACACCTTCAAACCAACCATCGTTATCATATCATTTCACTGCTTTGTAAAACATCGTCCATGGTATCTCAATATAATATAAACGGAAAGAGAAACGAAAGAGAAACGAAAGAGAAAGGAAAGAGAAAGGAAAGAGAAAACGGGAGAAACGAATACAAAGAAAAGAATACACATTAAACTATTTTAATCGTTATAGAATTTCCTCATAATCAGATGCAAGAACAGGTTGACATTCACTCGCAATTGTCCCTCAAAAAAGTCCATGAACTGCGTATTGTTGAACTGCGCCTGGAGCAGGTCATCAAGCGGAATTTGTGCGTTTGCTCCGGAAATCATCATGTTGCCGCTACTCCCATCAATTGTGAAAACGCCAACTTCATTGCTGGAAATCGTGAGATCGACCCGATCCCACTGTCGCTCGTTGTATCCCTTCCAATATAAAAGGACGCCCTTTTCAGAAAGATTTCGGGCTGAATATTTAAACGAGCCGAACTTGAAGGCACGGCCGGACCGCTGCAGCTCACGTTCATGATCCCACTGCTTGGTAAATGGCATCAGGAAGCGTTTCTTCCCTTTCTTGTTCTGAAGTGTTATCATGGCTTGTTCGATGTAGTCATTGTAAGTCTTCAACTGCTGCTCCAAGTATACCGCTTGGTCGTTGAGTCGCTCAAGCGTCAGGCGGACACTTTCCAATTCTCGTTGACGCTCGACTCTCCGGCGATGCTTTGTCCGAATATCGACCGCGATAGCGTTGAGAAGGTCCTGATAGTGATTCTCCCGAGTTATACGCCCTGCTTTCTCTAAGAGAAGAATGTTCTCCAATGCTGTACTCTTTAGATCGGGATAACTCATAGATCCTATGTCGATCAGGGCGTTCGCGTCTGAGTACGCCCCACGTTTACGACTACTAGATGACAACTCATCCCGGACAATCGCATTCCAGTGCTCCATGTCTTCTTCGGTAGGCGGTTTAACCATGATTTCCATTAGATTGGCCGCGGATTGGACTCGTATGATATAAAGAATACATCGTTTTGTTTCCATAAATAGTGACTTGATTTCAGCATCGGGGTCTAGATCACATACTGTAAGTCAACGGCCCCAAAGTCGTAGATACGCAAAGCCAAAACCTACCTTCAACATTATGTAGTTTGGGCGTTAATGTCAAACAAATTTCTGACGAGCTCACACTCATGAGTTCGTTTTCATTGCTCTTGACACTTCCCAGATCACGGATTGCCTCTCTAATCTTATCATCCGGGTCGGTACAAATGCTGGAGATCTCCGCGGCGAGAAGTTTATGAATCGAGAAAATGTCCGACATTTTGATATAGAGAGTTGGTTTCGTTTTGGCGTAGAGGTCGTTGAAAGAGTCGAGATCAAAGTGCGACTCCGCATCTTCAACAGTAACCACTATCATCGATGTTAGAATAATTTTAGAGTGGGGGGAGCATCGCAAAGGTACTCACAATTTCCCCATATCGCTCCCAATCGCTGAATTGCATCTCCAATCCAACTATTGAGTGGCTGAAGATACACGTTTTCGTTACCAAAGAGACGACCCGAGGCTACCTGCGCTATTACCTTGGCGATTTCTCCTAGATTCCGCTTCTGTTCTTGAGTTAGGCCCCGGTCTATAATACCATATTTTTCGGGCTCCATCAGCGCTGGATAAAGATAATTTCTCCAAATCCATTGTCCCGCAATCTGTAGGACATATCCATGATCCTCGTTCCCAAACTTAGACAATAGATGTTCGTAAATTTGCTGGGCAATAAATCTCACCCCAAAGGGCATTCGAGGCAGGAATTCCTCGATAGCGCTGAAAAATTGGTCCGCAATATCACGGAGATCCTGCAAATGTCGAATAAAAGTCTCTCTTGTTTCAGGATCCCGAATTGCCTCTTCTCTGGGTACGTCTATTCGACGTTGGCTCTTTCGGCCAGTGCGGAGCTCCTCATTGCTAATGGCAGAGCGGTAGATCTGCATCGGGTCACTCTCCAGGTCAAGGTCGGTATTCTCGATAATATGCTCCCTGACCAGCTGCCCCAGAATATCTCGCATGAACTTCCGATCCTTGGGCGACTTTGTATAAGCAGCGAACAGTTTGTTCCAGAAAGCGTTACACCGTATATAATCTTGGATGGAAGGAGAGTGATCTATTTCTTCATGTGCAGATTTGACAAGGAGTTTTACTAGGTAGTATTCCTCACGCCTCTTCTGGGAGTAGCCGAATAAACCCATAACCAGATGCTTGATTCGCTCGCATTCCTTTTCGGGAGTTGCCTGTTCCCGTATTCGCCTGAAAAGTCTGGCAAGGTATTGCGGCTGCGTCTGAAGAACGAAAAAAATATCTTGGTACTGCTCTAATTTCCGTCGAGATGTTTTATTCAGTGCCTTGAGGTCAAACGGATCCTTGGAAGATAGGTCTCTGTTTGGTAGAAGTGCACCAACATGACCCCCAAAATGCTTCTGATGCTTCACTACCTCGTCGAGAGTGATCTTGCTTTTTACAAGAAGAGCGATTTTGATATCTAGTTGCGTAATATATTGGTCCGCCAATTCATTCTGCCGCACATGCTGCACCACCATTTTCCGCAGGCGTTCAAATTCAATTTCTTCATCGAAATCAAAATCGCTGTCGTTGAGGAGATGTACGAAACCCTTAATAGTTCCAACCGGGGGATTTTCCCCGCTAGTCAGGCTCTTGTAAGCCTCTCCTTGAATCTTTGCTCGGACAAAACTTTGGACCTTAATAACTTTTTGCATATTTTCACGGTAGTACTTTTGCCTCTCAGCAAAGCGCTGCCGCACAAGGAGTCCTCTAATAGCAGATTGGAAGTCGATTATTACCACTTCCTCCGCATCCAATTCCTCCAAGACCTGGCCAACGTCGACCCTAACCAGCATCGCACGAGCAAGGGCCTGAAGTCGAGTAATCTTATCACTTGATGTTTCGAGCTCGCAGAGCAAAAAACCAATGTCGATTCTCAGTATGGCGGCTCTTGAAAGGGCTTGCAGGTTTGTAATGATGGAGGTTTGCTGCATGAGGGTATTTCGGTCTGCCGTTTGACGTTTCCGTAATACAAATCCTCTGGTAAAGGACTGAAGTGTAAGTATATCGCTTTCATTGTCTCGGAGAGCGCTTATAGTTGCATTGACGGAAGAGCGCAGAGAGGCGGCACGAAGAGCACTTTGAGCTTCAACAATTGAGGGGATTTGGGCGTTCAGCCGAGTTCGAAGTGATTTGACGTCTCCTCTGACGGCTGCTCCTCGAGAAAAGGATTGTAGAGAAATCCATTTAGCACTCATATTTGCTAGAGATAGCTTCTGGGAATCATATATCTTTCTCACAATAAAGCCTCTAACCGCCGATTGTAGTGCCGTTATAACGGGAGCTCTTTCTTCCAGGGTTAGTATAACTTGAGCAACTCTATTTCGCTCTTGCCTGCCTCTGATGGCAGATTCTAGCGCTATTATCATGGGGATTCCATCTTCCAAGGTTAGTATGTCTCGAGCAACACGATTTCGTTCTATCATGCCCCTAATAGCAGCCTGCAGAAATTGGACTTCGACTTCGGCATCTCTAGTTTGCTCGTATTGATCGCAAACCCTGTTTCTCGCTAGGGCTCCTCTGATGGCTGCTTGAATATGTTTAATGCCAGACTCTTCTCTCCGTGCCCTGGTCGTCAGTAGTTGAACATCCGAACGAATCCTATTTGCGCGGATCAGACTTTGCAACATCAGGATGTTTGGCTCGTTCTCTTTCCAGGATTGTTCGCTATCTTGAGCTTTCATCCGAACCAGGAATCCGCGTGCATAAGACTGTAAATTCACAGCGAACCGTCGCATGCTCAGCCGGTAGCCAACTATTTCCCTAGCCCATTCTCCTCTTATTCTTGATTGTAGGTCGACCAATGCACTTTCGTTATCCCACAGCTCCTGCATTAAATTCCCCAGTCTCAAACGTGTAAGAGCCCCTCTTATCTGAGACTGGAGGTCAGATGTAATCGCTTCGTGCATGTGGAGTTCTCTATCGATGCGATCCTCTTCTGACTCGATGGGTTCGGGTTCCGGTTCAGCACCAAAGCTCGCCCCCATACCAGAGAAGCTAGGCATGGGAACTCCTGACATGTCAAGACCTTTTTGCACTTGCTCAAGCTCATGATGTTCAAACTCCAGCTGACCAACCAAATTGCCGATACGGAAATCAACAATTCCCTTTTTATAAAGCAGCCACGATAATGCATGGATACAATGTATGACTTTGGGGATGTTTTTCTTTTCATACAGGTCAATCAATTCAAACCAAAATAAGTCTGGAAGTTCAATTTCTTTAAGAAGTTGGAAAAAGATGGCAATGTTGTCGGAATGGCGGTACTGTAACTTGGGGTGTTTGAATATGCGAAAAGTACGATGTGGATATAAGGCTTGCACCACTTCCGCGAGCGTGACTCCGTCCCGGAGAGCTTCCTCTAGTTGAACAATAGGCGGAATTGACTTGTGAATAACATCCTCAATCCATTCCTTTGCTTCACCAATATGACAAAGGTATTCATAGGCCTGTAGGAATTGCCGTTGTTTATCCATCCAAACACTTTCTGTCCATGCCGATGCTCGAACTTTTTCAGGAGACGTGTCTGACTTTGGGGCTCTAATGGAGTCTTCGCGCTTCAGTCGACGACGGCCATGCAAACCAACAACAGAAGGAACAGCGGACGCCAAGGCGAAGTCTTCACTTTCTGTCTGCGCAAATCTTGAAAGTGTCCGCAGATGCCCAGTTGAAGATCTCTGGAACGTTTTTAGATCGGGCGCCGTAAATGCGGCTGTTAACACCGGAGGGTGCGGGGTGGATTGTGTACGGGAATGTTGTTGTCGAATGTATGGCGATAATTCTTGTCCCATTCTATCAACATTTTCCTTGAGTCTCACAGCTTCGCCATCATATCCCCCAAAAATGGCAGGTTTCCCTTGAGACATGTCATCGAGTTGAAGGCTGGTCATTGTCTGACTTCGCTTCCGACTCACGCTGGCTGGAGGTGATGAGCCATTGGGCGCCTGGGGAAGCGGCCGCAACGAGCGACGAAGATTTCCATACGTCTCACTAGCACTTGGTGGAGTGGAAGCTCGTTCAAATCGTTCCCCGATTTTGCTCACCAGCCCTCTGCTAGCATTTGAATCAGACACGAATCCCCCAGATGAGTTCGAAGATAAGGTACTTGTCCGACTGGGTAACAGCGAATTTGAATAGGAGGAATAAATTGATGAATTAGTCGATGCCGTCGAGCCATGACGAAGTGGGCTGGGATGGTGTGTGGGCAGCTCTGGTTGAGACCGTCTAAAGGGGTGGAGGTTTGACATCACGACGGCTGGTTAATGGACATATGCGCACTCGATGAGAAAAGAAATTTCAAACCCTCAACTGCACGCATGCCGGAACACTCATAGGAGAAAGCAAATTGCTCTGTCAAAGGTCGGTTTGGCTGTGTGCCGCAACGATCAACCCAGCAGTGCGTGCTGGTCGACGACACACTCCCGACCACAGTTGGTATGTGGAGCTCTTGAGGGCGAGAAGTTCAGAAAACGTACGGAATGGTATAGAATATAGTGTTACTTTGTCTGCTGGAGGGCCAAAAAAGGCCAGAGAGCTTCCCCTGTCAGCGTGGGTTTGTGATGCATCTCGGTTCAAGAAATCTGCCCTCGGCCAGCTCTGGCTGTTGTTGAGCAGACCAAAACAATATTCCCAAAACGGCAAGGCGGCTTCAATGTATCACGTGAATTTGTAAAACTTAACTGTTGGAGCCTAGGCTTCCTATTATGGACTAGAGCACCGCACAATAGTATATAGTATCCCTGAGATAGGCTACCAATACAACAACCACTTCAGACGTCCAACATTAACTAACTGTTGGTGGTTGGTCTTCCATTGGTGGGAGGACTGGCTAATACGCGTACATCACGTGAGTTGGGCAGCTACTGGCCCAACACTAACTAGTTAACTAACTTACTTAGTTACTCTGTGCTTTTCAAAGTTCTTACATCATCAGAAGAGAGAACATGTAGTTAACTAAAGCATATATTGATTGATTAAGAGTCTTAGAAGGTTGACAGACAGAGTGCAGACACAGCTCAAATTACTCAAAAGAATTCAAAAAGACAATTGAACTGAGAATGAGTGAAGTTATTCAGAAAAGTAAAATGATAACAAAATGAAAGAATTGAAGCTGAATAATAATTATTATTCTTTTAAGTCTGTAAGAAAAATCTCTTCTTCTAACAGACACTATGATCTATTCTGCATGGTAAAGAATGTTCTGTTGATATTGATGCAAGTAGAGATCAACATCATTCATCAGAAAGATCAGATGAAGTCTTTTATTCAGAAATTCAAAGAGAATCTGTGATATACATAAAATGTCAAGTTACACTGTACCATCTCATCTTTCATGATTATATAAGCTCAGATTGTAATGTAATCGATCACTCAACTGGCCGGATCACTCAACTGGCCACCTTTTCAATTTCAACTCATCATCAACAATCAAAGCTCAATTTCTCAACCACAATGAAAATTCAAGCCTCTAATCAGGAAGGAAAACTTCTTTTGATCATTAGAGCCTATGAAATCAAGCAAATTTCTAGCATTCAAGCTGCTGCTAAGGCCTATGGTGTCTCTCATGCCACCCTATCCAATTGACTACATGAAGGCATTCCACGCGTGAAATCCCAGTCTCAACACCAGAAATTGACACCTACAGAAGAAGAAGCTCTAGTTCAATGGATAATCTCCATGGATGAGAGAGGCCTACCCCCCCAAATTGCAAGTGTACGATATATGGCCATTGAGCTACTCAGGGCCCATGGATCTAGCATATCCTCTAGCATTGGAGAATGCTGGGTGTGGAGATTTATTAAACATCATTCTGAGCTGAAGATCAGACTCACATGCAGATATGATCACCAGCAAGCTCTATGTGAAGATCCAGAGATTATAAAGAGGTGGTTTAGAATGGTGGATAATGCCATGAAGAAGTATGAAATTCTACCTGAGGATACATATAATTTTGATGAAGTTGGCTTTCTTATGGGGGTTATTTCAACAACCTTAGTGGTCACTAGGTCAGAAAGAGCTGAAAAGGCATCTTTTATACAGCCAGGAAATAGGGAATGAGTGACTGTGATTGAGTCAGTCAATACAAGAGGACAGAGCCTGCCTCCAATGATTATTCTCAAGGACAAGCTACACCAGGCTTCATGGTATACAAACCTGCCAGCAGATTGGGTAATTGGAGTTAGTGAGAATGGCTGGACCACTGATCAGCTTGGTCTAATATGGCTGAAAGAGGTGTTTAACAAGCATACTCAGGCTTATACAGTTGGAAGATATAGACTCTTGATTCTGGATGGGCATGGGAGCCATGCCACTGCTGAATTTGACCAATTCTGCAGAGAAATGCTATTATAGCTCTCTATATACCATCTCATTCTTCCCATCTGCTGCAGTCACTAGATGTGAGCTGCTTTGCCCCTCTGAAGAAGGCATATTGCAAGCAGATTGAATCTGGCATGAGGCTTGGCATTAATCATGTGAATAAGGAGGAATTCCTAGAACTATATTCTGCTGCTAGGAAGGAGGCATTGAAGGATATGACTATTAAGAATGGATTCAGAGCCACAGGCTTAGTACCAGTCAATGCAGAGGAGGTTCTTGAACACCTATATTATCAACTACATACACCAAGTCCCCCAGGCACATCTCATGAATCTCAGGCCTCCAGGACCCCAAAGACTTCCTGAAATGCTGTCCAATTGGAATGCCAATTCAACAAGCTCAAGCAGTTTATCAAGCATCATACACAAAGCCCGCCTAGTCCTACCAACCAAGCTCTAGATCAACTAGTTCGGGGGTGCCAACTAGCTATGCATGGGGGTGCTCTTTTGGCTCAAGAGAACAAGACTTTATGAGCTGCAAATGAGAAGCAGAAATGCAAGTGAGGACAAGGCCATGTTTACATAGGTCAGGAAGGAATTCTGACTGGAGAAGAAGGATTAGCTAGAGCTCAGACTGCTCAGGCTGCTCAGCAGATGGTGGATAGAGAGGTGGAGAATTCAAATCAACCCACTAAAAAGTGAGCACCGGCACACTGCAGCAAGTGTGGGAATACTGGACATAGAGCCCCTGGATGCTTGCAGAGCTAGGATTTAATTGTATATAATTTTTTAATGGATAATTTAATATAGTGGTGGCAGAATTTAAAGATTTGTTTAATGTACAGTGGGGAGGTGGCCAGTTGAGTGATCTGGCCAGTTGAGTGATTGGTTACATTAGTTAGTTAATTTAAGAATAACTGAAGAAGCTGTCATTGTATTATAAAACTTGTGACATAATTTTCAGATTGAACAGAATCTTAGTCTTTTTTATTTTCATTTTTTAAAGAGCTTTTTTTCAACTCTCTCTGTCTCAATTTATCAATAACAACTTAGAAGATTTATATATCATCAATCTCATGCAACAGTGATTCTATGTTTACTCTATCAGTCTTGGAACATTTCTTGAATCTCTAATGCCAGCAGTGTTATGATGCATAATGACATCAGAGACTGACTGTTGTGAGACTGTGAGAAATTTACTCTTAAACTCTGATAGTTGCTCTGTTGCTGAATTAAAAACTAGAGTTAACAGCAAGACACTCAGAGATTGATTCATGATATCTTTTAACATAGCAGTACTTCTGAGAGAATTCATGGCATCTTTAACATAGCAATACTTCTGAGAGGGCCATTGAGCCAGCCATTCTCCTTCAAGTCACTCAAGGAATTGATTTGGGTAGCACCTCTAACCTTGGGATTTCGTTGATATGCTTTGCGAGATGCCCCAGCTTGCCTTGGTCGAACTTATTAATGAAGATGCCACTATAATTGCGGATCTCTCCCGGCCTCTTGCCTGTACTAATAGTACCGACACATTCATGGCTGATGTGGGGCGCGTCTCGAATATTCAGAGTCGGTTGACTTGTGGGTTACTTTGGAATTCATGGTTTTTGACGTGGAAACCAACATTGGCAAGATAGCTAGGATGAAATGAGATAAAGGTATCGCTCTTGGGGTCTACAGTTGACCTCGTAGTCAGTTGACATTGTAAGAGCAGATCTTAGACTGCGCCGCGAACGATGAAATCCCATAATACACAACCTTAGCTCGCCAGTTGTTTGGAAACTGAGTCAATATATCCTGACTACCTGTCACGCCTACAGCAGCTTTTCGTTCTGAAATTATCAACAGATAATCCTTCTTTTTGAAAACCAAATAATCATCAAATTCAATGGATAAGAACAACGCGCGGTGAAGAGGAATGGAGCTCTCACTGGCCTTGTACACAACCAATTCTAACACGTGATCCAAGCTCACCCAGTTAGTGCTAGCGAGTTCGAAGGTCCACAGAGTAGAAAAAACTTACCAAATTTACGGAGCTTTTTTCTTTCTTCTGTTTCTTTTCCTTGGGAAAGACGCTTTCTCCCCGTCAACAGAACGTTTGCCTGACATCTGTTGTTGGTATTTCTCTCTGCTTCTCTTTGTCGCACTATTTTGCCACTGGCAAATTACCATTCTCTTCCACACTCTCTCATTCTCTCTTTCGCCATGCCCATATCCAATGGAGATGCGACGGGATGTGCCTTCGAACATTTCGCGGAGGAAGTGGAATTCGTGGACCACACCAAGGCCCTGGACATTCTGAAAAAGGACTACTCCGGCGATGGCCTGGATATCAATGAACTCATAAATTCCGACAAGCGGGGAGCTCTGACCTATAATGATTTCCTGATCCTTCCAGGCTACATTGGTTCGACATTACCTCTTAAAACACCTTATGTGAAACTTGGTTGACTGGTCCGTAATAGGATTCCCCGCATCCGACGTTTCTCTCGAAACCCCTGTTACAAAACGTATCACTTTGAAAGCTCCGCTGTTGTCCTCCCCAATGGACACGGTCACGGAGCACTCCATGGCCATCCACATGGCCCTTCTCGGCGGTCTTGGTGTCATCCATCACAATTGTTCGGCCGATGACCAAGCTGAGATGGTGAGAAAGGTCAAGCGATATGAAAACGGTTTCATTTTGGAGCCTGTTGTTATTTCCCCCAAGACAACGGTCGCGGAGGCCAAGACACTAAAGGAGAAATGGGGGTTCGGTGGATTTCCAGTTACAGGTTCGTTAGATCTGCCCTTTATGTTCAATCTATTACCCTACATATCTTTGCAATGATGTTTTCAATCTTTATTTAATAACTTTCGTTCATCTGCAGCGGCGAAAGCTGTTCTGAAGAGACCAGATTTTGTCTGATTCTTGCTCTAATTTGTTCTTCTTTGTTTTTTTCTCCATTGATTCCGTCTGGATTTAGCTAACAAATATCTCAAAAACACAGAAGATGGAACTTTACCTTCGAAGCTGATTGGAATGATTACCAGCAGAGACATCCAGTTCCACACTGCAGGTGATGACCCTGTGACAGCAGTCATGTCTACTGACCTCATAACGGCTCCCTCCGGCACAACCCTCGCCGAGGCAAACGAAGTCCTGAGAAGCTCCAAGAAAGGGAAACTTCCCATTGTTGACAGCGAGGGCAACCTCGTTTCTCTCCTCTCAAGATCAGATCTTATGAAAAATCTGCATTACCCACTTGCTTCGAAGCTACCCCACTCCAAACAACTTATCTGTGCTGCCGCCATTGGCACTCGTCCTGAAGACAAAGGCAGACTCCAGAAGCTGGTTGACGCCGGCCTCGATATCGTTGTCCTGGATAGCAGCCAAGGAAACAGCATGTATCAAATCGAAATGATAAAGTATATTAAAGAAACCTACCCAGATATTGACGTAGTTGCTGGCAACGTTGTCACCAGAGATCAGGCAGCCGCCCTTATTGCTGCTGGAGCCGATGGTCTCCGTATCGGCATGGGCAGTGGCAGTGCCTGCATTACTCAGGAAGTCATGGCTGTGGGAAGACCCCAGGCTGCTGCTGTGCGCAGTGTTACCCAATTCGCTTCCCGCTTCGGTGTCCCCTGCATTGCAGATGGCGGCATCCAGAATGTTGGCCACATCGTAAAGGGCTTGGCAATGGGCGCCACCACCGTTATGATGGGTGGCCTCTTGGCTGGTACGACTGAATCTCCTGGAAACTACTTTGTCAGCAGAGAAGGGCAGCTCGTCAAGGCCTACCGGGGAATGGGAAGCATTGATGCCATGGAAGATAAGAAAGCTGGAGGCAAAGACGGACAATCAAGTAATGCTGGCTCTGCGAGATACTTCTCTGAGAAGGACCGACTACTTGTAGCTCAAGGTGTTTCGGGTTCAGTTTTGGATCGGGGCTCCGTCACGAAGTTTGTTCCATACCTCATGGCCGGTATCCAGCATTCCCTGCAGGATATTGGGGTAAAGAACTTGAAAGAGCTTCACACCGGTGTCTCCAATGGCTCGGTGAGGTTTGAGGTGCGCAGTGCCAGCGCCCAGGCCGAGGGGAATGTTCACGGTCTTCACAGCTTCGACAAAAAGCTTTATTCTTAAGCTTAAGTGCAACGACGGCCACTTATATTACATGACGAGCCCGTTGTCATTTTTAAAGCTATTGGTTCAATAGGTTTTAGGAGTTTGTCGGAGGTTCCGGCCTTGTATTGATCGATGTTTATTGGTTTTCTTCGTCCTCGTCCCAAACGTTTATGCAGTCCATGAGTCTCCTTACCTAGCCTTTTTCATGCTTCAAAACAATCCATGCCGATCGTCTTGCATTCTCTAATAATTCCCCTATATTTTGGGAGCGGACACTCCTATGATCTGACCTTGATGTTATATTTATCTTCAACCGAATTGCAATTCCGTTCATGATGCAGTAGCTTTGAAATTTCCCCTATATAGGGCAAAATAACACCCACACGGAGATCATGGCGTATAATCTTCACTCCAATTTTAAAAGGAAACGCATGTAGAGTTAACTCATATACAGTTTCGAAAATATATAAGTTTTTGTCTGATCGGCAACCAAACGTTGTCGGCATGATAGCACCCCCAAGTTGTGATAAACGAGGTTCTGCTGGACCTCGGCATTATTTTCGCCGATAACGCGGTTATCAATTTCCCCACGAAACCAAGGTCAATATCAGCTACCTTTACATTTCTTCAGAGCTCAAGCGGCCTGATAAGAATACTACTTAAATCCTTCCCCTCTCCACCTATATTCTCTTGGATAATATGATCCCTTCCATATGTTGCCAATTGCCTTCAAATGCAAATCAGCTGCGCATCGCGCTGCGACTAGTGCTCAATAGTGACGGGTTTTATTATTCTTCTCCTGATAGATACACAAGAACGCCAGAGACTCTGCGCCTCCAAATTGCATACCGTTTTGGCCAACAAGCTTCTTATTCGACGGTTCGGAGAATACCACAGTATCGAAGTATGGCTCCAAAGGTGGCAAACGGAGGCAAGGGTGAGAGAGCCGTGCCCAGGCCGAGCGCGAGGTTAGTCCGTCGCATTGATATATACAACTCCTTGAAATATAAACGAGCTCCATCCAGACGTGAATACCATAAAGCATCAAGTTAATGACTTTTATCTACGATCTAGTGTAATCCTAATCTCGCCTCAAAATGAAGTCTTATTGCTACACCGTGTGAAGACTTCCTCGTCCTTCCCTTCTGCCCATGTGTTTCCTGGGGGAAATATTTCTTCGCAGGACGGTGACTTCCCACCTGCCGGCCATCCAGACAGCCATGATGAGGGTCCCCACTACCGACGGGCGGCAATCCGGGAGCTATTCGAAGAGAGTGGAATCCTTCTTGCGAAGAATAAGTCCACCGGCCAAATGATCCAAGTAAATGAGGAGCAGAGGGAAATAGGAAGACATGCAATCCACATGAACAAAGTCACGTTCAACCAGTGGCTGAAAAGCATAGATGATGCTGCGGAACCTGATATTGGTCAGAGCTTATTATCCCGAAACTTCTGGATATTATCTGATTAACTAAAACCAACCTCTTTTCTCTTGGGTTAATGCCTGCTAGACCCGCTCATCCCATTTACCCACTGGATAACACCGGCAAAGAACCCGAAGCGCTTCACGACACAGATGTATCTCTACTTTCTCCCGCCATCTCCGGAGTCCAAAAACTTAATTGGAAGCGAAGAGACTGAAGTCCAAGTGCCAACGTCGGACGGCGGGATAGAAGTTACTGAAGCACAATTCCTTCACGCCTCGGAATGGTTGCGGCTTGCTAGGAACGGAGACATCATAATGTTTCCACCGCAAGTCTTCTTACTTCATTTCGTCGCACAATTTCTCGATAGGCCAGACGAATCTCCATCCACGATTTCTAAGGAGGAGTCTACCAAACGCCGGTCTGAATTGATCAAATTTGTGCATTCGGGATCTCCCCCTTGGACAGATAAGTTTATCTCCCCACTCCAAATCGGTCAGGTTGCTGATGGACGGAATATTCTTGCATTGGATTATGTTGGACCCGAGCTTCAAGGGTCAGATAAGAAAGGAGAACCGGACAGGGTAGCACTTGTTCGATTTCTGAAAGAGGGCCCCAGAGAGGTGGAAATTCGTTGGAAGAATGAAGTTGAACCTGTCAAGAAGGCGAAGAGTGCTCTCTAAGTGGCTATCGTGTTTTCTGACAAAGATACTAGACAGTTGATAAATAGAAACTATATGTACACACATAGACCTATATACCCTAGCTTGTTAGAGTAGCAATATAAGAAATATTTATGTTCATACCATCATCGTCAATAAAATCATTGTAAAAGCGATAGAATAGTCATCTGGGGGTTAAATACCACGCACCGGCGTTATACTCACGACCCACACCGAAACCAAAAAAGTTCAAATCCGAGTCACATGACGCACAATTCTTCGCTTTACAACTCGCATCAACCACCAACTCAACGCCGGAAATCACCACAAACCTCAACGACCAAGGCACAAACAATCCCCCGCTCAATACCGTTATTCCCCCGGACATCTACACATCCGCAAAAATGGAGAACGAGAAGGGAAAAATCGTCGACCTGTACGTGTACCACCCTTATCAATCCCCCACTTCTCCCACCTAGGAAACAAAAGCCATCAGCCTCCCGAATCAAAAGTTTCGTCCGCGCCAGACACAGGAGGTTTCCGAGGGATTCCACTTATCTTTCGTGCCACAGTAATCCTGAATCAGTTACCTTACCCATTTTCTAACTTGAAAATTATTCAAATATCCATTTAGCTACGTGCCTCGCAAATGCAGTGCCACCAATCGCATCATCAAGGCCAAGGACCACGCCTCCGTGCAAATCAGCATTGCCAAAGTTGACGAGAATGGCCGGTACACCGGCGAGAACCACGTATATGCCCTCTGCGGATTCGTACGTGCCCGGGGAGAGAGCGACGACAGCTTGAACCGACTGGCGCAACGGGACGGGTTTTTGAAGAATGTGTGGAGCGCGGCTTCTCAGCGCTAAGGAGAGCAGAGAAGGGTGTTGGTTTTCCTTTTCTTCTTCTTATTTATTCTCCATGTGCTGGTTTTCGTGGGAGGGTTGTGGGATAGGGATGTTGTCATGGTGAGTGATCTCAGTCTTGTTTTCCACGGTTGGTAAATTGAATGATTGGAACTTTCACTAACAATGCATCTCTGGGATAGATGACCATAAAATGAGCGAAATACTAAAACACCTGGGAATATACTGGAGTTTTCTTCCGAGGTTCTTAAATAAAGACCTTTTTTCCTTGTCCTATAATTTCCTCCGTCTTCCTATCAGCATGAAAATTGAATCCCTCTGTTCTGTTATGTCGACGAATACGAAATACCAATATGAACTGTTCCATTTATCTGATCCAAAGGAGGAACATGAATGTACCTCCTTCAAACTTGCTTTCATTTTGTTACAGTGCGATTTCCTATGCATCCTAGCTCCTTGATAGACAAAGGGCTCCGAAAACCCCATTCTAGGACATTACCTATATCCACGATAATGGAATTAATACTCTGTCCCATTCCAATCTATCCATATCTCCAACTATCCATTTCTACCTCTTCCAGTTTTCTTCCTGAAGTTCCCAACCCGGCACCAGAAACCGACTCACGCCCACCGCAAAAATCTACTCTCCCCCCATGGGATCGTGTGATTTACGTGGTGAATGACTGAGGCGGGATATAATGTATTACATTTTGGCCGGGGAGATCATATATTTCTTGTATATATCCGTCTGCTGAAGAGCTGCGATGTTCAAGACCACTCGTCGGAGCACAGATACGGGCGGGACATTTTCGTTCTTCGATAGCTTATATGTGTAACCACCTCTAGTGTGTGGTAGGGATTGCTGCCCTGCTAGCTGTGAAAACCTCCGTACTTCGTAAAGATTCCACTACTCTCTTTGATTCCCTTTGCATGTCACCTTTCGAGGCATTGGCTGCAGGGCCCTTGCCCTGAAGTCCAAGTTTCCTGGCTGCTTTAGGAGCTTTATACCACTGTAGAGTCTATGCCTTTATGACTTTGCATGTATATCCCGACCGACTCTATTTTGTTTAAATCTATATGGGGAAGAAAAGTGAAGGTGAGGGTGTCAGTTGCAGATACGATGAGAAGAACATCAATCTCCTAAATTTCGTATGTCTTCGTCTTTTCTATTCCATATCCCATCACCGCAATTGCTTTACCAAAACACTTCAACGGTAAACAACCATATCTTGGTCTTCCTTTATAATCTAGGTCCAATCCTCCAATGGTACGTAAACATTTAGCGGAAAGGTATAAGAAGTGAGTGATCATAAGTAGGAAAATGGAATACTTAGGAAGAAGCAGGTGTCTAATCCTTCTCGAGCCGGACGGCCGGGTTCGTTTCGATGAAGTTGAGATCTACCTTATGCCCAAGGAGTTCCCGGATATTGCTTACGCCGTACCTAGAAAAACGAAAAGAATTAGCTTCAAGCGGCTTGGTTTGATTGATTCCACAATCAGATGCCACTGGAATATACTGGGGAGAGGTATTAAAAAGATAGACATGTCAGACATACTTGATCATAGTAGGTCGTTCCAAGCTTAAACCCCATCCATACACTCTCATATCCTTCGGCAGACCCATGGGCTCCAACATCTCTGGTCTGAACATCCCGCTGTTACCAATCTCCACCCACTTCCCTAAACCTTCATGGTATCCGAAAATTTCCATACTAGGTTCTGTGTAAGGATTATAAGCCGGCTTGAACCTAAGTCCATGGATGCCCATCTTCGCAAAGAAAACTTCCATGAAGCCAATTAAACCGCCCAGTGCAAGACCAAAATCAGCAATCACGCCCTCAACCTGGTGGAACTCCGCTAGATGGGTAGCGTCGACCGCCTCGTTGCGGAACACCCGGTCAATACTGAAATATCGGGCCGGGCGAGGGTTTGCGGCCAGTTTGTAGAGCATATATGCCGATACGGAGGTGGTGTGTGTCCGAAGCACCAGGCGGAGAGCCTCATCTGGACTCCATGGATATCTGTAACCGATTGATCCGTATTTACCAGACTCATGTACGGCGCGGACGTTGTTCCAGTATTCCTCATGGTCAGGGAGATTAACATTGGAGTTTGAAGGTCCGCCAGTCACCGTTCCCGCCTTTCCCGCCTTTGCTACGTGAATGTCTGAAGGGTCATCTTCCCGTGGCTTGTCTGCACTGGCAGGGTCTGAGATATAAAAGGTATCTTGAAGATCACGGGCAGGGTGTTGTTGTGGGACGTAAAGAGCATCGAAATTCCAGAATCCGGTCTCAACGAAGCGATTTGAAGGCATCTCCTCAAAACCCATTTCGAAGAAGATTTGTCTAAATTCCTGTCGCACTTTATTCAGAGGATGCAAAGCGCCGCTCAGGGTTACAGCGCCCTTGGCATTGAAATTGTAGGGCTTAAATTTGGCCGTTTTCCACGCTCCAGTCGCAAGCATATCAGCTGTGAGGTCAGTTTCCTCTTTTGCAATCTCTCTCGCATATTTCTGGCCCTTCGATATCTTGAAACTTATAACCTTGTGTATTGTGATAAGTTTCCTTTTTCGCAGGTCTGCTATGACGTTGGGATCGGGGTATGTTTTCGTTTTCTGTATGATCAACAGTTGCTCCTGAGTAGTATCTTCGATTGAATCCATTGCTGATCGCAAAACATCTTTATCTTTCTTGATCCAGCCCTTTTTAAATGCATTTCCAGCGCCTATTTTAGCAGCCTCTTTCCCGACGACATTTGGCAAATCCACAATTTTCAGCCCGCCCAATGCCGCCTGCACGGCTTCGAATACTTTGGCTTCATGACTGCCATTGGCCGCAATCGCTTCAGCTTCAGGTGATAATATTGCTTCTTCTCGTTCAATAGTTTGATACTTGATCATATCTCTAGACCCAAGGCGGTCCAGTGCAGCTTTCACTGATATTCCCGGGGTGGAGGGGAAGGCATCTGTGGAGAGAATCGGCTCGTCAGTAGAGGAAAGGAGATCTAATATTTGCGTTGTTAGGTCAGACACCATGGCTACTACAGGAGGAGAGTCCATGAGCGAAGATATCCTCCGCAAAACCGTCTTGGTGGGGATGGAAGGGGGAAAACTGTGCAGACGAATATTTGGGCTGGGCGATTATTTTTTGGAAATTATGACTCGTTTTGATGTCCCGTACGTTTGCACATTTTGTTAACATAAAAAGCGAAGTACACTAGTCCCAGAGTAGTTTAACCCGGTCATAGTTTATTTTGTTCACTAGCCCTAATTCTTCTTTCCAACTCAAAATTGTCCATGCCTTAAATGCTGCCACACACTTTGGCGTTGTACCCAGAAAGATCATAGAGAATACATTCTTCTATTATTGAACTCCAGGCCTCTTTCACTGTCTTTTTTGAGTAGTTCCAGTCTCCACTGTATAATGATAAGATTGAATGAGGGATGAAGAAACTCAAACTACTCTTGGGCTAGCGTATTTCGCTCTTTATGAAACAAACAGTGCAAACTTATCGCAGCACTTTAACCCTGATACGGCTGTTGTTATAACCAAATGCGCAGTTTGATACACGTGATATCGGAGCTTCTTTTCTTTGACATGCACAAATGAAGTGAAAAGGATGGTTGAGTGGATGAGAAGGCTATAGCATGGGATATCTCATAACATGATAAACAAAAACTCCATTAGAAAGCTCGGATTTACTCCTCCTTTCGACAACTCCGAGCCGGAAACGTGTAAACTTAGCACAAACTCCGTTCTTGAACCGAAGTTCCTTTCCATTACTACTGGCAAAGCGCCACACCCCCCCGAATTTGACAACTTCGTGGAGACTATCCGACTAGATGAGCTTTGTGCTGTCGCAACTCATTGTCGAGGCGATGTTTCATTATAGCCTTAGGTGACACACTATCGAAGATAAATAGACGCTTGGGGTTCATGCCGTGAACTGAATATTCATGTGTGATTGCTTTTTAGAGTTCAACGTTGTTTACGAGCTGATTTCTCGAACAGTGTTGTTTGGATGGCCCGCATCCCACTTCCGTATACCTGTTTTCAAGCTGAAGAGGTGACAGCGTCGTATGCTGCTACTTTAAAGTATCTGAAGAGATACAATACTATACCTATTCCAACTATGTTTGCGTACAGCCGTCAGTCAAAACCAGAAAATAAAACCAACACCTGTCATTGATATGGAGCGGTTCCCAGGCCAAGAATTGCCTTTCCTAGAAAGGCTGTTTGAAAGATTTCACGTTGGCAGAGAAGGTACACCAGCAGCTGCTGATATTATACTTGAGTTAGGTGTGTTTTATGTTCTTCACTTAACGGCACCTACTGTGCGGATCTGCATGTCCATCGCCTAGCTTCCCTGAAACTCAATAATAAGATTGGATCGCTACGGGAGGGCCCAGAATTAACCTGAGCAGCATAGCTTACACAGAGGTCAGGGTCAAGGCATGCCTAAGTTCTACCCCCCAAGGGCCCCTTTTCCTTTGTCCAAGAGTGGTATGAGGTGACGCAAAGCTTCCTTGAGCGGTCTCTAAAACGAGGAAGGTGGAGATGAGACAGTAGCAGATTACGAGATTGTCACCAGCTTTTCTGACAAGGTTATGCTAAAGAGTTTGAAAAAGGACCGTTTCTTAATACCCATAACGATCTAACAATTCAAAATATCTTGGGAAGGATCTTGCCCGCCCCCCCTCTCATGCTACGTGCAAAACAGCGGTTGAAGCTTTGCCAGATTGACGATGAGTCCAAAATGACCGGTATTCTTGGTTACTTCTGAATTGTTGTGCCTTTACCGTCACTGCATCTATCCTTGGATGTTTAGCGGCAATGTTTCTGGACTGGTCACGGAGTGCGACGCATATCTGAATGTGTTTCCCAAGAGAGAGTGTGTCGGTATCCTTCATCCCCTCTGCAATCATGCGAAATTCGAGAATATTTGATGCGATCTGCTCAAAGCCGGCAGCAGTTTGAGCTTGGCCTGCTTGGCCATACACTTCGCTCGTTCTTCTGCAGTTGTTTCGGGAGCTAGAGGGACGCGAGGCTGATTTAGATGTTGAGCAACAGAAGATTGCAGATTCACTAGATTGGTTATGGACCTAAGTGTCTCTACTCCTGGCAAAACCCTCCGTCCTCCTGGGGCATTGCTGAACCACTTTCAACTTTTCTAATCTTATCTAAGCTCCGGTTACTTTATTAATCCTTGAGGAAATAGAGCCGTGACTCCTATTGTTAGACACTTCTATGAAAGTGAACGTGTTTCAATGACAGTAATGAATCAATTTCACTAGATAAGAGCTTGAAAGCACCCATGACTCGTTAAGAAATCACGGGAAGGAAGACTCCAGCAGACAATTGCCTTCTCCCCTCCCACAAAATGTATTGTCATGTTATATCTTGCATATCTAAACTCAATCTGAATTGGGGAATATCTTGGATGGGTAGGGTGGCAAGTTAATAGAGGCATTTGGGGGCCTGATTCAACATCATACATGTCGGAAGATCACTGGAGTGACGGGATTTGGACGGTTTGTCTGATGTTCAGGGACGGGGAAAGTAGTCACGGGGAGTTGTACCTTTCTAACCTACTGGCCATCAACTGGACCTCTTCTAAATGGGGTGGTGCTGTTCTCTATAAACTTGCCTCGTCACTTTAAAGAGCATTATTGGGGTGGGATGATGCACTCTGGGTAACTACAGCTTGTACTCCACAGATGTAGTTACATCCTACGAGCAAGTTTCCCAATCTGTCATGAGGAACAGCAGCCCACAATTCCTTTTAGAACAACTCCAACTTTGTGCCCCAATTTGAGCTTTACGCTATTATGTAGTTGCTATCAAAAATCTTCATTATATCGGTTGGTTCAGGGTTAATGGGCTGGCTCTATTGACGCGAATTGCTGGATGGAAGGAGAGCATGACCTTTAAAGTTTATCCCGATTTCGACCAGATCATACCAACCCAGACACAGTGTTTAATTCCGATATCCGTCTAGAACAGAACAAGTCCAGGTATCGTCATGGCTTATTCTGGTGCAATAATCACTCTCAATTTCAGCATCAAGTTGAATTTCACATATTTAGTTCTTGGCATGCGGGGCGGTGAGAGGTTGGAGGTGAGTAGTTCACGAACCGCCTGATCCGATCTTGCAGATTGTCGGTCATCCCCAGGCCTCGTTGAATGGGACATTCCCTAGAATATGGTTATTCAGCCGTTCTGCGGGATAGTTGGAAGAAGCGGGGGATATCAATAGATTCCCTTTGTTAATAAGAGCCCATATGATCCACTAGCAAGTGAGGGCAAATCGGCCAGTTATATTTGCACACAGATATAAAGTTATATTGTGGGGGAGACGTCAGTTGTAAGATCATTGGACCCGACATCCGTTTCAGCTATTGCGATCTTCAACTCCCCGACGACACTTGTACCCAAGAAAGATATGAGATACATATGAGATCTACGTCAACCAACCATCCAACTCTTACCCCTAGCTGCCCAGTGTGTCACTTCACGTTTCATCCTGATGTTCATCGCTGGACGATCACCTACGACAACACCGCAATACCTGACACCAGCAGCATCAGGTTTCCAGTTCATTCACCCGTAACCCAACATATCACTTCAGATTGAATTAGTTACCTGTGGAGTAACTAGGGGATAGCCTTTTTTTCACTTCTGATCATTTCTGGAGATGTCAGATCTTGAATCTGAATTAGCGACAGAAATTCAGATGTCCCAACCGGCCAACCATGAACTTCTGGCTATTGAAAAAGGGAAGAAGCCCTTTTGAGTTCCATCAATGCATTACATCCAGGCTTAAGCTTGAAGTCAATAATTGACGGGGTTCTATAAAAATAATCTCTGAATCCTTAAGTAAATTTCATCCAAGGAAAGTTACGTAGTATTAACAAAATATTTACCGGTGCGTTATGTAATAATGGCCTTTACCATAAACATACCCAGGTAGAGTAGAGCACATAGATACAGTCCCAAGCGCCATTGGGCACCAGAATACAGACATTCTGCATACATGGTTACTTGCACCTTTTACAATAGTCTCAGGAAGCGCGGGAAGCAGCGTGAACATCACTTGCTGATAATTAGCATGTGTGTGTATTTATCCAAATCAAATGTGGAGAAAAACAAAATATTCTCCAGACGGGAGACTGCATTTCATGTTCACGTGAACTTTTACACATTGGCTATCAATGCCGCAAGTGCTGTGGGAAAAGACTTCGCAGTTTTGCTGCCAACAGTGCCCGGTTAATGAACGATGGACCGATAGAAGTATTAGAAGTGGAGTTATTATCCCAATCCGCTGCTTGGGAGTTCTAAAAGCAAACAGAAATGGGACAATCGAATCTGAAGAAGTTCGGACGGTGGGCTTGAAGCGGGCCCACATGCTGCCCCTCCATCACATCACGTGGGGGAATGTCATGAGCTCGACTTTTGGTCGATGCGGGAGACCGCGACACAGTGTTGTGACAAAAAGAGGATGTGAGCATGAGATTGCCATTATCAAAGGAATATTAATGTGCTCAAATAATTTGCAGACCGTGGTAATGTCTTCATCCTCATTGTCACTGAGTGTTGAAGAGAAAGAAAGCATTGTTCACTGGATATTTTGAGGTGGATTGAATAACTATGGCTAAAAGGAGGGACGAAGATAAAAACTTTACCGCAACCATGGATCGAGCCTAGAAGGGATATGGTGCGGCAGCTCAAGAATGGATTCGAAGCGAGAAGATGATGAGTTTCGGGGATATAGGATTCTTTCCTGGAAGAACCACGTCTGGAAATTAAGCTGGCGGAGAAAAGGTATTAAAAGGGACGATAGAAGGGTTTGAATTTCATCTGGACGCGGTCGTGTTAAATACTGCCCTTCTCCTCGGCATAGATGCATCAGGTAAATCGAAAGAAAAGGGAGCGGATTTCAGTGAATGCAGCTCAGACCAGTTATCGTCGAACTAACCTTGGGAAGTCCTGTCAAAGATAGTATGGTCGAGAGCTCCAGTATTCTCATTCTGCAATCAATGCCCGAAGTATCAAGACATATAGGCACTGTGATTAGGTATATATGTTGAAATATCCAAACAAACAAGTGTACGTTGATGACCATCCATGCTTGGACACCATTTAACAAGATCAACGCATTATGGTGTGCGTAAGATTTTAAGATAACTAGTTAGTTACTGCATCTCCCTGACAAATGCTTGTCGTCACACCCCATATGTCGATGAGAAAAACCATAATAGATGGCTGCGGACCAAGAGCAAAAAAGAAAATGTAAAACCGCCGCCCAATTCCAATGTCCGACCTAAATATCAGTTTATCATGCAGGATATCGGGCGGGCAAGGTAAGGCAAGGCAAGGCGTTAGGCGTTCGAACCTCTTCTGACTTTCCCCCAAAATTCAACTAGAACAGCCCTCCATGAATATCAAGCTAGGCTGTCGCCGGGATACACTTTTCCCTTTTCTGCGGGAGGGTAGGGCTGTATAGCAGTCGACTGAGATAAGATATAGGTAGTAGATAGATACCCGTATTCCGCACATACAAGAACACATGCACATAGTTCATGATATTTTCCCCCGAAAGATAAAAATGAAACGGCATTAGCCCAAGTCTTTTGCATGTGCAGGACTTTTGGCTCCCACAAACAATGCTTAGTCTGTACCTAGGCACTCCGACAATAGGTTACAGTTGAACATAGTTTAATGTGGTGCCCACTTTCTTAAAACCATGATCAACTCTGGCCACCTCATCTAACAATAAACACAGTCTACACACTCTGCACATACATGACAAATACATCTCTCTATTCAACCTCCGCCCTCAACCAGGGTTAGGGATGAGTTAGGATTAGGATTAGGGTCAGTTAAGGATTAGGGTCTGAGAAATATGATAAAATCGCTACCGAAAGCAAAATAGAGATATGTATGAGATATACGAGATATGTGTGAGGTATGACCAGTTAAATGTATGCAGTTTTGATGGACGATGGTTTTTAGCATGAACAACGCCGAAGGTTTTTAGGACCGAGATTTTAAACTGCGTTCAAGCTCTATGAATTACCAGACAATGTATATATATATGTATTCCGCAACACTTTACCGCTGCTGGTTCCTGAGGAGGTTCGCATCCTTGAGATATTGGTGTTTGATGTACGGCACATGGACGGAATATGCGTAGAAAAATGGATGGCAGAGAGTCTAGTTAACTCTGTGGAGGGTGGTTTTCGGTGTGAGGTATTCATCGTTTTGGCTACGGAGCCCGGTGTGCAGTCAGTCCTCTACCAAGGTAGATGTGCCTAGTGCCAACCTTTTCTGTCCAGCGGCAACGAACTACACCGAAAATGACGGCTGTGTGGAGCATTGTTTGCCTCTGACATTTTGCCGGAAATCGACTGCCACCCAGTAATAAACATGATGTCGTGTATGAGGTATCCTGGAACAGTTGTACGGAGGACTCGATGGGTAAACCAATTTGTTAGATAAAATTCAATTATTTCACCGGACAATCTCCTCGGAAGAAACAACCAATACCAACCAAAAAGCCAATGTTAAAATGGAATATTTGTGCTCGCCCAATGAGCGTCAAGGCGTTCATTTCTTTTTTCCCTTCATTTATTTTTTTTTCCCACCCCAGCAGTTGGCACACTTTTTCCACAGTTGGGCCGCCTGGCGTACAATGGTGGTGGACTCGTCAAGATCTGCTCAGACGGCGTCCCGTGCTAACCCAGCCTAGTCTGCTCATAGCGTGGCAGAATTCTAGTCGTTGTATGCGTGTATGCTGTATGTAAATATGTGATGAATACCTAATACCTCTCTGGTTTGGTATGTATCCCGTGTGTCACTTTATTGATCTCGTTGCTTCAAGGGTCCCAGCAGACAGACACCGGCTAGGCCAGCCAGTAGTCAGTTCAGTCAAGTAAGTCATTTAGGGAGCATATCCTTTCCGCCTTTGCTAGAACAAACTAAACCCTGTTTCTTCAGAAGCCTCGCCCATAGGGAACAGCAGCCTTCGTTCCCTCCAACGCCTCTCCTCCATCAAAACCTCTGTTCACCTCTCCATCCGTCGCCATCCCCATATCTCACCTATTCTTCTCCCTAACGATACTGTATACGTCTCTCGCCCTCACTTCTCC